GGGGTCACCATCCCTGAAGGTGTTCAAGAAATGTGTAGATGTGGTACTAAGGAATGTGGTTTAGTGGGCAGTGTTGGTGGTAGGTGGTGGTGATGGTTGGACTAGATGACCTTTGAGGTCTTTTCCAACCTTAATGATTCTGTCATTCTACATAGGTAAGATGGTCTCCAACCTTTCTGTAGGCTGAACAGACCCAACTTAGCCTTTCATTGTAAGAGAGATGATGTAGTCCCTTAGTCATCTTTGTGGCCCTTCATTAGACTCTGTCCAGTATGTCCATGTCTATTCTGTACTGAGGAGCTCAGCAGTGAACACAGTACTCCAGGCATGCCTTCACCAGTGCTGAGTAGAGGAAAAGGAGTGTATCAGCCACTTCTCCCAGCTTTGCGTCATCTGTAAGCTTGCTAAGGGTATGCTTTGCCCCATCATTCAGAATCACAGAATAACAGAATGGTCAGGGTTGGAAGGGACCTCAAGGATCATGAATCTCCAGTCTCCCTGCCATATGCAGGGCCACCAATCTCCCCATTTAATACTAGACCAGGCTGCCCAGGGCCCTGTCCAACCTGGCCTTGAACACCTCCAAGGACATGGCATCCACAACCTCTCTGGGCAGCCTGTTCCAGCACCTCACCACTCTCTCTGTAAAGAACTTCCCCCTGACGTCCAACCTAAATCTTCCCTCCCTCAACTTTAAACCGTTTCCCCTTGTCCTGCAGTTATCTACACTTTCAAAGAGTTGGCTCCCCTCCTGTTTGTAGGCTCCCTTTAGGTACTGAAAGCCTGCAATGAGGTCACCGCGCAGCCTTCTTTTCTCCAGGCTGAACAAGCCCAGCTCCCTCAGCCTGTCTTCATGGGGGAGGTGCTCCAGTCCCCTGACCATCTTTGTGGCTCTCCTTTAGACCCTCTCCAACAGCTCTCTGTCTTTCTTGTACTGGGGGCTCCAAACCTGGACGCAGTACTCCAGATGGGGCCTCACAAGAGCAGAGTAGATGGGGTCAATCACCTCCCTGTCCCTGCTGGCCACCCCTCCTCTGATGGAGCCCAGGATACCACTTGCTTTTCAAGCCAGATCCTTGATGAAGATATTAGAAAAGATTGGAGCCAGTATTATCCCCTGGAGTACTCTCCTAGTTACTGTTTAGTTAAACTAAACCACTGATTGTCACCTTGTAGTCCTGGCCATTCAGCTAGTTCTTTACGCACTTGGAAGTGTGTTAAACCAGCTTGTACTTCCTTAGCTTGTTTGTGAGGATTTTACGAGGCACAGTATTACTGAAGGTAATTACTGAGGTCTTAATGAAGTGCAGGAAGGTGATATCCACCGCTCCCCTCTCATCCCAGGTTGATCAGTTCATCATAGAAGCTTATTGGTCAAGCATGACTTTTCCTTGGTGAATCCATGCAGACTACTCCTGGTTTTCTTGCCCTTCATATGCCTAGGAATGGTTTCAGGATGAGCTATTCTGTCAACTCCCAATGGATCAAGGTAAGGCTGACCAATCTGTAGATGCCTGAGTCTTCCTTTTTGTCATTCTTGAAGATAGGACATTTGCTGTCCTCCAGTCTTTAGGCTCTTCTCCCAGTTGCTATGATCATTCAAGGATTATCAAGAGGGGCCTCACAGTCACTTCTACCAGCTCCCTCAGCACTCATGGGTGAATCCCATTGGGGGATGGGATGGCCACAATGTATGAACGTCCAAATTGCTGATGTATTCCCTGACATTATCCAGAGCAAAAATGAGTGTGAGATGTTCCTTGTGCGAGTATAGACACAAGCACAGGTATTGCAGGCTACCCATTGTGAAAACACCCTAATAATAGGATCCTTCCAGAGCAGTGATGCTAATTGTCAATTCCAAGATTGAGCTGGATGCACTAGGAAGACTTATTCCATATGAGTGATCCTCTATTGACTCATGTAGCATTGACTGAGTAGCAGACTAGTTGGAGCCGGCATTTACTGTAGGTATTGTCACACTTTCTGCAGTCTGGCCAGCTGGTTACAGTTCATGAGATACAAGCACCTCCACACCTTTCTGCTTTGTGTTCAGACAAGCTTGTCATCTTCCTGTCCTTTTAAGTTTACTTGTCAAGAGATTTTGAGATCATCTTATTTTGGCTTTTTAAAAGTCTGATATCTCAAAAGATAATCTGCTCATTCGACTTGCAACCAATGTTTTATTATGTATATTTTATACTTTTGTTTATGACTTGTTTTTTTCCTTAAATTAAAAACAGGAATGCTTTTGGATATATTTACTTAAATACTTGTATGTCCTCAATTCTGCCTTACTTGTTAGATAAGGATTTCTTCTGGCAAAATTGAGACAGAACCAGAACCGGATCAGCTGGCAAGCACCAGAACATGCCTGCAAGGCACCAACAGATACAGCTGGGGAGCTTCACATGTGTGGGAAGAGCATGTACCTTCCAAATGGGTGTTACAGAAGTTGAATGCGTGTCATTTCTGCATGGGGCCTGGACAGTGAGGCAGAGCTGTCAAGAACACTGGCTGTCTCTGAAGCAAAATGCTCAGGAACACTGAGTACTGCATGCAACCAAACTTGAGATATTATCGCTCTACAACTCCCTGAAAGGTGGTTGTGGCAAGGTGGGGGTCAGCCTCTTCTCCCACGTATAGGATGAGAGGTAATGGCCTCAAGTTGCATCAGGGGAGGTTCAGGTTGAATATTAGGAAATATTTCTTCTCAGGACTGGCGAGGCATTGGAAGAGGATACCCAGGATGGTGATGTCTCTGGAAGTGGTCAAGAACCATGTGGATGTGGCACTGAGGGACCTAGTATAGTGGACATGGTGGTGATAGGCTGACATTTGGACTGGATGATCTCAGACGTCTTCTCCAAGCTGGGAAAATTGGCACCACCTTAGAGTCCTGTCTGCACAGGACCTAATCCACTGGGAGCTAAGCAAGTGGTAGCTGTGAGCTCAGAGTTTCTCCAATGGGAACTCATTTCTCAGATTACATGAATAATTGCCATCTTGCTGATCCCAGCTTTTAAAATTTCTTTTATCTTACAGTAATTAGCATTTAAATGATATGGTTTTTTTTTTCCCCATGAGCTCTTTTCAAGTGGTATACACTTCTGTGAATCATTTAAGTAGGAAGCTCAGAAGTGTCATCTGGATTTTTTTTATGTCTTCATTATTCCCTTTTCAAGTAGTCTCCTTGGTGTTGCAGCTTTTAGAATTCACTTTCACTTACAAGAAGTTTGTTTGAGGGGAAAAATCCAGACACTATTTTAGCAACCAAACATGAGGAGAGCAAGTAACACTAATGCATCTGTTGGTCCCTGAACACAAACTGAAGAGCTCAGCAAGACTCAAAGGAGGACAGAATCAGTCACAAGTTTCTAATTTTATTTTAACAATCTTGCTTTTTAAAAAATACAGCTTCTGATTAATGCCAGGGGGATGCCAAGTGTCCACTGGCCACAGGCCTCATCTCTCACTTTGTTTTCCCATCCTGGGAATAGTCTCTTTTTTGTGAGGAGAGCAACAGAATGCTAAATAGCTGAGCTCTGCTACAAGCCTTGTAACAGGGCCCCAAGGGCTGTATATTTTCATATGGCACAACTTGATATTGTGAAGTGTTACTGACCTGGACCAGTAATTAATGTTGGGCACAAGATAATAGGCGTGCAAGGTGTGTTGGGTGAGGTATTGTTTGCTCTTGGACAGCACCACTGTCCCTTTCTTCTGCAGACAGATCTGCTGTGCAGCAGAAGGGTCTAAATGGACATGAGAGCTCAATTAACAAAGAGAAGGGAGCTTAAAAGTTGGGGCAGGCTTATGAATGAGACACTGCAGAGCTTGAATTGCTTCTCTGTAAGTAATTGGAGGGTAGCATTGCCCTCCAGTAGATAGTCGCATGGGAGCTTCTGTACAGTTAGCTGCTACAGAAGCTTCATGCCTCCCAAACAGCACATTTTCTAACACCCTATAAATAATGGAGCTACAAAGAACCACTTTTTCTACAGCGGAATCTGATGCAACAGCATCATCATTTTGTGGTGTCATCTGCCCCAGGTATTTACTGCATAAGGGGACAAATTTGAACTGTAATTTCAATGTAATTAGAGGTTTGAATATGCCATGGCTACTTAAGTTTCCAGTACGCCATTTTCTCACTAATGTCTTAGATGGAAAAAGGCACTCACTATTGAAAGAGCAGCTGTGAGGGGGTACTGAATAAGTAAGATGCATTAGTAGTAATTCTGCTGTGATTATTCGGTGTCTCAGCTATGCTTATGCCTGCATGTATTAGGGATGTTCTACTCACTTCAGTGCTATCGTGAACCACACCATAGGAGCAGCAAAACAGAGTTGGGGATGAATAGCTTTTTCTTCCTTCACCGTATTTTTGGCACATATTATTGTCATTTGACTGAAGCATGGAGTACTGCAAGTATCTTCTCATTCTCCCTAAACAGTATTGCAGCTCTTTCTGAGCTATAACTATCCATATAATGCTGGAAAAGGCAGATGCAAGGAAACCAGCATCTGCACAACCCCAACAGACCTGTGACTGCACCCCTTTGGCCAGGACGGTAGCATCCCCTAGACACAGCTCACATCACATAGGAAAAGTTCACAGTACTTAGTTTTACAATCACGGTCACTCACAGCACCAAGATTGTCCAGACAAAAAGGAATTACCGAAGAGAAGGCCACTGGCCAAAATTCACACAAGTGCCCACCTGAGGTCTCAGGTTAAAAATAAAGCACTGGTGGGAAAGTTAAGCCGAGTCTGTGCTGGCTCTGTTTGGCAGAGGGAGAGCAGCAGGTCTACACTCTCAGCTCGGAGCAGAGCAACGCTGTCACCCCGTTGTTCCTGAGCCCTGGAGGCTTGTGGTTCTGCCGGAGGGAGCTGGAAGTTGGCACTGCTGTAAACATGTCTGCTGGAGCGGGCCCTGCTGCGTGAAGGGCTGGAGCCCTGGAAGAAGTGGGTGTGGGCAGGACTGGGCCGTGCCTGTGTCCTGCTGCTGGCTCTGCGGAGGAGGCGGTGGGCTCTTGTGCCCGTTGCCATCAGGACAGCTTGAAAAATGGCTCTGGACAGAAGCCAATGACAGCAGCCTTGGCCAGGGAGCGAAAAAGAGGCCTGTGGGAGGCTAAGGTCTTCTTCCAAACGTGGCCTCTGCGCTCCTGCTTCAGTGCAGCCAGCTTGGGGAGTGGCTGGAACCAGGCTGAAGAGCAGGCCGCAACCCACCCCACACATGCATGGAGCTTAAAATCAAAGATAACTGTTTCTATGAGACAATAAGTACAACGAACTGCTCCCCACCACCCTTAGCCACGCACACCTGGAGGGCAGGGTGCTGGAGTGCCCTGCTCCGTGCTCAGCCAGCACAGGCCACAGGCAGCACCCAGCCCCGCACCGCCATTTGGGAGCTGCCCTGCTGCTCCCTCAAACAGATGTGGGAAGAGCTCAGGGGGGACCTTTCCAGCCCTCCCACCCTACACAAAGGGAGTCCCTACGCTGCATAAAGGAAAACCAACACTGATCCCACAAACATGCATATTCACAGAGAAACGAGCGCCCCAGCAAACGGGCGCTGCTGTCTGAAGCCAGCAGGAGGCTGCCTAAACCCTGTTCTCACCAGAAGTCAGTGTCTCGGTGGGAGCAATTCCCCCGACCATGTCCATTTTGGATTCACTTGTTTCTTTAGTGTGTGAAATCAACGTAAGATGCCAAAGGTTGAAGCACAGAGGTAGACATTTACAGCTCGGAGGAAGTGGCTTCAAGGCTTGAAATGAGCAGATGGCCAGCGTGCTTCTAGGTGTTCCCCAGCTGTTCCTCCCCAGTCTACCCAGCTCTGCTGGGTCATGGGGGTGGCTTTGTGGGACCGGTGGAACCCAAGCATGCTTGTTCTTGTTCTGCACGCACCAAGAAGGCACATCTCTGCTGCTTGGGCCCCCCTCGCATCTCATCGCTGGTCAACAGTTGTTCCTGAAGGACTGGGGAGCATCTGGTCCCTGTTGGTTGGGGGAAGAAAAGAAAACCAAACATTTATGGTCACAAAGCAACACAATGTCTTGGCGAGGAGGAGTTGGAGGGGAAAAGGTGGGATCCTCCGGGCAGTGTGGAGAGGCAAAAGCACTGAAGAGGACCCGTGGTGAGGGGCAGATGTGTTTTCCAGGGGTGAAACATCGGCCATGGACTCCTGCAGGTAGCGGGGTTCATGTCAAGCTTCCGCTGACAGAATTGTCTATAGGACAGGGAGGGCAGCAGGAGTCCGGCAGGGTGTCCATGTCCCTTCCCACGCTTGGCCACAGCAGAGGGAACCTGAGCAGAAACACAGAGAGACTGGCGGGGCTCAGCAGGCTCAGCCCTGAGCAGTGACGGCCAGCGCATTGACGTAACCATGGGGGCCCACATCGACGTCGGACAGCCCGTGGCCCAGCGGGGCGGCGGTGGGGGGCCCAGCAGCAGAGCCATACTTGGAGGGCGGCAGGTTGGCGGTGGGGTGCAGGAGGCAGCAGGTCTCCAGGGCCTCCAGGCCACGGCAGGCCAGGAAGAAGAGGTTCTTCAGCATGAAGAGGGAGAGCGGCTGCTGGTAGCGCAGGAGCAGGAGGCAGCGGAGCGCCAGCAGCGGCGCGTCCAGCAGCCCGGCGGGCAGCAGCAGGTGGAGGGCGAGGCGTGCGGCTCCGGGCGGGTGAGCGGCGCTGAGCTCGTAGAGCCACAGCACCGGCGAGGCCAAGCAAAGGAAATAGACGGCGATGAGGAGGTAGCGCAGCGGGGCGGGCAGCGGCGCGGGGCGGCTGGGCTGCAGCACCAGCTCCAGCAGGGAGAAGCTGTCGAGGAGGTCGAGGCAGGTGGCGAGGAAGGCGGCTGCGGCGCGGTGCTGCGGCGGAGGCTGCGGGGGAAGAAGCAGCTGCCCGGAGCCCTCGGCGCCGATGGCCCGCAGCAGGCAGTAGAGCAGCGGGGCGGAGAGCGCCAGGGTGATGCGGAAGCCGGTGGTGCCCAGCGGCAGGCGCAGCTCGATCAGCTCCAGGATGGAGGTGCCCAGTATGAGCGCCGCCTTGGGCGTGAAGGCGATGGAGTAGATGAGCCAGGCCAGGTGAGCGTAGGCGAAGTCGCCGCCGCGGGGGGGGCCGCCGGCCCCGCGTCCCCCGGCCCCGCGCCCGCCGGGGGGGCCGTGCAGCAGCAACGGGTGCGGCGGCGGCGGCCCGGGGGGCGGCGGGGGCCGCTCGCGGCGGCGCGCCCGACTGTTGCGGCAAAAGAAGATGCCCCAGCCGGCCGCCAGCACCAGGTCGGTGGCGATCCAGCTGCACCAGTACAGGTCGGTGACGGCGATCAGGTAGAGGTCCAGCAGCGCGCCCTGCCCCAGCAGCAGCACCAGGGACAGCGCCTGGAAGCCCCAGCGCCGCCCGCCCGCCGCCCCTCCGGGCCCCAGCAGCAGCCCCCCGGCCGCCGCCCCGCCGCCCGCCGCTCCGCCGCCCGCCGCCGCCGCCCCGTACAGCTCCGCAGCCGTCATCCCGCGGCCCGGGCTCCCTCCGCCGCCGCCGCCGCCGCCGCCGCCGCTGCTGCTGCTGCTGCTGCTGGGGAGCGGCGAGGCGGCGGCGGGCGGCGGGGCGGCGGGCGGCGGCACCAGCGGCTTGCTGATGCTGATGCTGTCCTCTTCCTCCTCCTCCTCCTCCTCTTCCTCCTCGGGGCTGCTGCGGGGGCTGCGGGGGCGGCGGGCCCGCGCCGAGCCCGAGCTCGACCCCGAGCCCCGCCTGCTGCCGCCGCTGCTGGAGCTCCCCGGGAAGAGCGGCTGCCGGTCGGCGGCGTGCGGCGGTGGCGGCGGCGGCGGCGGCGGCGGCGGCTGGAAGGAACCCGAGGAGGAGGAGACCGAGCGCTGGTTGGAGGCAGCGCGGTGCATGGTCCTCCCCGGCCCCCGAGCCGGCGCGCCGGGCCCGACGGCCGCGCCGCGGCCCCCGACCCGCCCCCGGCCCGCCCCCGCTCCCCGCGCCGCCGCACCGGCACCGACAGCGGCACCGAGAAAGAGCCCGAGAGGCGGCGGGGCGCGGCGAGGGGGCCGGGGGCGGCGCCGAGCTGCAGCGCAGCGGCGGTGGGTGGGCTGGGGGTGGGCGAGCTGAGAGCGGCTGTGCGCCGGAGGAGCAGGAGGGGACGGGGGAGGAACCCCCCCCAGCTGTTCCCGTAGCTCGGGAACGGAGCCTCGAGAGGGTCGTCGCCCGCCCATCCGTATGGCACAGCCCCGGTATCGGACCCAGAAAAGCAGAGGGGCTTCGATGGAGCTGGTCTCCTCCGGTCCCCCCAGGCTGATCACTCGATGTGCCGCAGGCCGGGCACAGCCTGAAGCCGAGCGCTGACCTGTGGCTCATCCTGGAATTAATTGCTTTCACTTTGTTATAGGTAAATGCACAGCCAAGTAAGTGGCTTATACCACGCAGATTGCCTGAATTCAGCTATGCTAGGTAGTGAGGGCTCTGCCCAGCCCGCCTTGCTGGAATAGTTGCTTCATGTTGGACGTGGCTGGCTGGAGCTGCTGTGGGACCACCACACGTGGCACACTACATTCCCAAGTAGCCCAGTGCTGTGTTCCCAGCCCCTTGCTCCCTTGCACTTTCTGAGAATGATCCCAAATAGCTTGACTCCTATGGGTATATGCTCCTCAACACATAGGGCTCAGTACCGAGGAACAACAGGAGGGACAGAACTCCAAGCCCTAAGGTATCTGGAAGCGTTGCAGGCCTAAGGAGCAGAGTGTGGAGGTGGAACAGCCCACAGGCCTTCCCCAAGGTCTACCACGCTGTTTGCTGTCCTGTAGCTGGGATGGGGACCCACGTTTCCTGCTTCTCTCACACTGTTTCCCGTGCTTGTGTGCCCTTGCCAAGATCCATCCTTGCATCTACACTACTTGTGTGCACTGCATTCCTCTAACTCACCTTGTCGTGGTGCATAGGGTGAGATGAAACCACGCATGCGCGCACTCGCATGCTGTTTAAGAGCCCTTTCTCACTATTTTTTACTAGCATTTCTGCTAGCCAACAAAACTCCTCCGTTTTAAGAAGGTCAGTGACCGCAGATCATATGGAACACAAATGTTCAAAGTGTTGGAGGACAAGAGGAATCATCCCAGCATAGCACAGCAACTGTGCTGTACGTAGGCCAGGCCGCAGCCCTTGGCCGGGCACAACAGCCCAGGGCTGCCCTTCCCCATGGGCCATTCCCATCACATTTCAGTGCCTTGGTGGCAGTTCCACCTCCATAGTGACACAGGACAAGCTTTTCCATCTGCAGTGCCGAGTGCAGTCCCACCACAGCTGGCACAGGAAACCTGCTCGCTTCTGAGTGACAGAACAGCACGGTGCTGCTCAGAGCTGAGCAGTCTGAGGTCTTTTGAGACACAAGAAGACAGCAGAAAGCAGAGAGACGCTTCTCTTTCCTCTGCCAAACATGCTCCCATGGTGCTGCTCTCAGCCCTTCAAGATATGCAGATTTGCCTGGAGGTGAAAGCATCGTGTCCTTGAGAGCACGACTGACAAGCCACGTTTCTTGGCAGAATGGTGTCTGCTGTGGAGTGGGCTTTGGGAAGGATGAGTGGTCTCCTTACAGGCTCACACAGCTAGGCTGCCCATATGGGGAAACTGGCTGGGTGATGGGTGAGCTCAGCCTGGGGCAGCGGGATGGGAGGCAACTGAGTGCTAAGAGGGCTCAGCTCAGTTAGTATGGGTGAAGGGGTTTGTTCTTCATCCTCCCAGGGGGTGCGAGTCTGCTGGGCCTGGATCTGTGTGAACAGGGTTGGAGGAGCCTTATGTTTCTCTGGAGACCAAGAGATCCCTGCTCAACTGGAAAGGCTCCTCCATCCAAGGTAGGCAGGTGGGGAGACTTGCAATGAGTAGGGGTGGGTGAAACTGGGCATGTGGATGCCACTGGGGCAAGTGACACTAAACAAATGGGTGACAATAAGAGCTTTTTTTGTGTGGAAGGAAGAAGAAATGGTGCCTGTATCTTAAAATGGGAGTGAAGGGGAAAATGTCTTCTACTTGAGAAAGCACTGAAGAGCCTTTTGTAGCTCACTCTGGGATGAGATATGACAAGCTGATGCTTCTTGTGTGATCTAGTTCTTTAATGTAATTATGCAGCCCTTGCAAGAGTTAGTACTTAACCATTACTGTTAAAACATTAAAAACCTACTATTAATAGCTTCCACTCTTCAGCAGCTCCAAAGCTGTGTTTCTGGCTTCTTTATACATTTATGTAAATACATAGGTGTATGTGTGTGTGTATATTTGAAGGCAAGCAGCAGACAACACGGTTCTGTGAAATAGTTGTAGAGAATATAAGAACTGCTCCTGTTTCTAGTTTATAGAAGTAGTGTGCCCTCAGAAATAACCCTGCTGGGGGAAAGATGAGAATTTCTTGAGGGCAGAACGCAAGTGTAAACAAAATAATGACTCAAATGCTTGGTAGGAGGAAGGTGCTGGGGGAAAAGGGACAAATATATGCCTGTGAGAAAGACCAGAAGCTAAAACCCTAATCATACCCTGCAGTAAGCTGTCAGAAACTGGCAGCAGTGGGAGGGAAAGAGGCAAAGCTGATTTCAGCGAGTTTGAGCACAATCTGCTGTAACCATGCTTAAAATGCCTTTTGTGTGGGAAAGGAAGGTTCTGGGATTCTCTAATGCAGGCTTTGTACTGCGCTTATTTAATCCATTCGGACGTTCAGGATTGCAGTTACAGGTAAGCACAGAGGAGGTTCACCTGGCCAGCACCAATACTCAATACTCAAATCAATACTCAAACTTGGTAGCCCCCAGTGCTGAGTCTTTGTAACAAAACTGCTGCTCCAGTATTATGATGTGGGGAATACAGATACTCTTTGAAAGGTATAAAGGTGTAGCCATTTATTACTTTTAATTATGTTTCAGTTCAAAGAGCATTCGTTACCAGTATAAAATGTAAAGACTTTTTTTTCAGCCTTACCATGTTTAAGGGCTTGGGAAGTGAGGGTTGCTCTTAGTATTTTGTGCTTAATTAGTCTTTTCTAGCACACAATGCGTATTGAAACTGACCTTGAGGAACAAGTGAAAGATCTTAGCGATTGAACTGACTGGTTTACTGCAGTGAACAAGTAAGGACTTTCTTGATAAAGAAGTTTGAGTCTGAGAGGTTATGTCACCTGTCTTACTGTGTGGGATTTTAAATCTTTGCAGGCTGGATCCAAAAAAGTCTTTAAGTTGTTTGTATGGCTGCATAAGTTGTCTGTATGGACCATTATTTTTTTACAATGGAAGCTAGTTAGATTCAGTAGATGGAGGGTGTGGGCATGCCAAGGTCTGTGAGCAGGTGATAGTATACCTTGTGTCTGCAGCCTTGCTGTGGCAGGTGTTCCCCATAGCACCTACCTGGGAGAAATCTCCAATTTGAGCTGTGCTGTCAGTTCCTCCTGTTTAAGTTGTTCCTTCTTCAGTGTTTCATGATGCCAATGCCTAACCATGCTCCTTACGTTGGTTAAGGGCTTCCAGCTCAAGCTGTCTCCTTCAAGGACACCTTTGCTCTGGGCCACCTCTTTGGTTTAACAACAGTACAGTGATTTACGAGCATTCATTTAGGTTATTTGGGATCTTATCTCTGTCTAATTAAACCTTGGTCTGCCCTACCTTTGGCGAGTGCTCCAACTACCTGAATACTGGATAAACTAAGGGGGTTGGTCCTATTTTGATTTATTTGAAGTGTAGGCCATAGGTCATATCTCTAGGATGTAGGTTTCAACTCAATTCCTTTCTCTACTGAGAATGGGAATCCTTCTCCTGTATGTTCAAAACTGCTTAAAACAATTAGTTCCTTTTAGTATCAAGAAGTTGGTTGGGCTGTTAATCTTGCACATCCTGTGGTCTAACGTGCTTCCTGTAAACTTTGTAGACACAGGATTTTGGATGGAATATTGTATAGAAACAATGCGTGTTAACTGTTGCACAATAGCAGTTTCTAAACCATCAAAGCAAATAGTTTTCACCTAGTAGGATCTTCTGTTTTCCACTTGCTGCAACCTGCAGAAGCTTTAGCTCTCCTTCTGTAACACCACTTGCTTTCTTCAGAAGGTAGAAGAGCACGGCTGTTACCTTGTCCTTGTCTAACAGGGTGAGTGTCTTAGATGATCACAAAGGGTTTAATGTAGTGTCAAGAAAGCTTCTAATGGTGTCAAGAAAGCTTCTAATGGTAAAGATGGCTTTCATACCACCTCAGGCTTCTTCTGCAATAGCAGATTAAGTCGGTGATATCTAGTTTGTTGTTTCCCCAGCCAGTAGAAATAGTCATTACAAATGGTTGGTTAGGTCAGATCACAACTAAATGCCTGCTCTGAAAGCACCTTTACACATGTGGCATCCTAAAATTGACTGCAAAATATCAGTCAGGACATAATTTGGTGATTTCCTTCCTCTTCCCTTTCCCACTTTACGGAGTGGGAGTAGTCAAAATTACTGTTCATTGTCTCATCTGAATATGGCAAACACAGAGCTTACAGGGAATTACAGTTTGGTCCAATTAGAAGAATTGCTGGAGAGGTATCTTGCAAGGTAGTTCCCTTAAGACAATCTGAGATTGATTTGATGAGCACAACAAAAGACAGCATTTACTGCTGATAATCTTCAAGGGTAAAGGTATGAAAGAGGCCAGGACAATACTCACAAAACGTGCATACAGCATACTAAAATTTATTTCACAGAAAACCTCTTTTATTATTTTTAAATGTGCTAATTCAAAGGAGAAGCTCTGGATCTGGGTTAAACTTGATTTGAATGCTAAAACAAACACATCTTGTGATTTCTCTGTACCATATATAATCACCCCAATACAGTGTACATGACATAATTTGAAACATTACCCATTTATGGTGGGTGGGAGGGAAGGGTAGAAAGACACACCAGGATTAACACTGGAAGAAAGGGTACAGTAGTGTTACACGATTCCCTGAATGCCAGGCTAGTGGTTGCATTTGTACTGTGGAATAACAGAATTGTCCTCTCTGACCACCATGTTATTGCATGACATAAAAGCTCTCTGCTTCAGACCCAAAATTAGGTCAGTCCCTCCTTCAGTTCCCCCCTGCTATTCTCAGTTGCCTGAACTCACCATGTACTTCCTTTAGACTTGCCTAAAACCTCCCCATCTGTGGAAGGTGGAGCTGTTAGATCAGGTCTTCACTGTTTGTTGCATAAGGTAGCGCGCCATATGAATATTAAGGGATCAGAAGAACAAGTGAAGTCCCCTGTCCTTGCTTGGTCCAATAAATTGCTCAGAAGTATGCTTACCCCAAACTAGAGAAATGTGGCATCTGAAATGCAATACATGAGATATAGGAAAGGATATGTTCCAGCCACTCTTGAAGCTTGTTCCAGGAAACTGCAATTCCGAGGAGAAAGGATTTCACTGAATTCTAGCAATAACAGATGTCCATGGATGAGCTGCCGATAAGCAAGAAGCCTGCTATGAGATTTTTCTAGACTTCTCCCCTCTGCTCAGTTTCAACTCTCAAGTGAAGCATTTCTTGAATTCTTTATCACTGAAGTTCCTCCTACGCACTTTAAAGACTCCCAGAGCACTGTTTTAACACTAACACGGCTCAAAAAAAAATCTGGAGCTAAAAGCTAATTTGGAATCCAAAGCTGATTCCCATCAGTCAGTTCTCCATCACTGCTATTCTAAAGATGGAGATGCCTGCTCAGTCTGTGTAAATGCAAACCTGTTCCTTTGCTGGACGGGGCATTAACTCTGTCCTCTTGATACCTACTTTGCTTCTGGCTGAGACATGCCATGTATGTTAGTATGAAATTAAAAACTGCCTGTGATTTCTCAACATTCCTGTGCACGTTCTTTCTACAACTGGCATCAGAAGCACAGCCAGCATACCAGGTTCCATCTGAGATAGCTGTTTCAGTAATGCTACACCCCTCAGGGAACACTGGTTCAGCAGCACCTGGTCTTAACAAATAACAGGAAAGAGCTCTACCAAAGGCTACAGCACATGCACACAGTCAGACATTAGTATTTCTGTGGAGAAGTACCTACCTACCAACTAGAGGATATGGTCAGGAGTTATTACCAGCAACCAGCTCTCTGAGGTCTACACAAATATTGCAATGAAAGGGAGCGTTCCTCTTCCTGTGGAAAGTATGGCTGAGGGACACTGGAGTTAGTTAATGAATGGGACTTGGGCCTCTAATATCAGGCCTTGCACACTGGATCCATAGCATGCTTGTAACTCTGGAGATGCTCTGAAAGCTAAAAAAAACCTTCCTCATGTTTTATGCCAAGTCCTTTCCTGTATTAATCCTTCTGGGAACTGTAGGTGAGCCCTTGTTTTGTGCAAGTAGATGAAATGGACTTCTGCTTTTTGTTTTTTATCCTTCCAGTGAAGGGCAAAGGATTCAAATCAAAGACAGTGTTCCACAGGTTACAGCTGCTCTTAGAAGCAGCCAAATTATTCTCATCCTGATAAGACAAAGAAAAAGAATCCTAGCTAGTACTAAGAAAGGAAGAGGCTCCTTCCTGTTACTGATTTCACAACAGGTAAATTCACCCAGGGAAGTATTTTTCTTGCTCCTATTCAGAAAACAAAGCCTGGAGAAAAAAGCCATCTTTGCTTGGGTCTTTGACTGCATACCCAAACCCATTCAGTCACAGAACCCAACAAAACAAGAAAAGAACCTGCTCTGCAGTTTGACCTTCCTAGGAAGGTACATCAAGCTGCTGAAGCAGAATGTAAGTGCACGTGGATGCTGAGATTTTAATTAAGAACAACACAGAATGTCTTGCTCATACCATGTATATGAAGCTGCCTGGTAAAGCAGGAAGGAGTGAAGTGGGGGCAGAGCAGACCTATTTCTGATCTCTCTGTGGTGGAGGCTGGGTATAACTAGGAACACCAGCTCTGTTGTGCTGGTTCCAAATGATTTCCATTGCAAATGCAAACTGACTTATGCTTCTAAAATCACAGTGCTCCTCTGGAATTACGACACCCCTTGCTAATTCAATCTTTCACATGGAGTTCCCCAAACAGTGATTGCTTAACTTCTTTGGATTGTCTAAGGAGACACAGGACTTGATCCAGATATCCCAAGCTAGAAAAACAGGCAGTAGAACGTGCGTATCAGTAGGGATATAGAAATGTTCCCAGACAGAAAAGTCCCATATGCTAATTCATGTTAAGGAGGCTCTATTTGCAAGCTACAGGAAGAGGAGGGAATGGGGATCAGACCATAAGAGGTATTCCTGAGTTGCAAACCAAACGTGGAAAGTGGAAAAAAGAAAGCGAAGGACAGATACACTTCTACTCTCAGAGATGAAGACTTGAAATCTGGGGCTAAGGCTTGACAATCTCGTCTCTCAGTCACTGCAGGCAAAGCAAGAAAAAGGCTGGGCTGTTACTTGTGTTGGCTGGCCCTTGCTCTCAGTGCCCCTTGTTTGGAAGCTGTGTCAGCTGGAGCAGGGCAATGTCCCTTGCACCAGCTGGGGTCAGGGTGAGTGCCACGACACCTTCCTGCTGTAACACTGAGTTCTGGCCAAAGACACCTCTGGAAATGCAGTGATTTCTCCTGCTATTGAGAAAAGGCTGATGGCTCCCTAGGCAGGATGCAAAAAGGCAGAAGTGTTCACAGAATGTTAAAGAGGGGGGAGGGAATAATGACTTCCCGTGAGGCCTTGCAGCAAGTTGTTCTGGCTACTGCTGCTTCCTTTGAGGGGCCCTGGCCCTTCATCACTGCTGGAGAGCTGCAAAATGGGACTTTGTTTCAGGCTGACAGCAATGCAGTGGCAAATCCCCAAGCAAGCAGAATTTGTTAAAGTCCATAGGCACTTATTCTTTATAAGGAGAATGGTAAGACTTGAAGCCTTCCCTTGGCAGAGGGCCACCACAACACAGTTCCTGGTGTGCTCTTGTTGCACACTGGACCAATAGTACAGTGTATGAATGGTACACTGGCTAGTGGCAGCTCCTTGCACAGGGAAGAGCTTCATCCTCAAAGATTGCTTGCCTGATATCATACACAAAGGGTAGGAAAGAAAGGACTCTGGTGGCTGAACAAAACTGAGATTGCTGGGATAAGCCTTTCCCTTATGTCCCGTTTTTATTATGGCTCAAATTGCGATCACAGAAATTTAAGTTCACAATTAAAAGCCTGCTGGCAGGACTGTGGAAGATTATTAGTAAAAGTAAGGGGCTTTTAGTGCTGAAATGGGGAGACCTCCTGAGTGTTGGCTAGATTAGACCAACCCAGGTCTCTCTCCATTCTTCCCCTCTGCCCTGACAGCAGTTCTTTAGGCACACCTGTCTTTAACCCTAACTCCAGTTCTCCTTCTCAAAAGCAAGTTGCACAGCTTCATTCACATCCTGCACTACGTAAGATGCCTCCACGAGGCTGGGGTCAAAGCAGAAGTCCCGATGGCCATGGAACACAGTCTCTGTGTTGCACTCTTCTAGCTTCCTGGCAACACCTGCATTGTGGCGGTAGACCCCAGTGCAGACCAGAATTGACTCACAGCTCTCCACTGCAAAGCGGTCCTCAGTTTGGGGATTGGCTGCCTGTGGGATCCTCTTCACCCCAGCCTCGACTTGGTTCTGTTGAGCTGACTTGAGGTAGTTGTTGTAGAGGTTTGCCCCATAGACATCAGACATAGGATTGTCCCTGGATAAGGTCACAATATGAAACAGAAATGAAAAACCAACCCAAACATCAATTTCTAGTTCTGGCAGTCTGGGATTTAGGGAGCACCAAGGGAGGAAACAGTACAAGACGTTTGCTGTTATCAAGGAAATCCCCCCAGATTAGGCCAGTGACTCCACTTATTGGAGCATTCAGCACACAGTGATGGCCAAGTGCTTCGTAAGTATCTATTCTGAAAGGGAAACAGATATGTCCAAAGCACCCACAGGCGTTTCAGCCATTACTGACATTTATTCCCTACAGCTCCAAAATGTTTGGCTTAACTGGGCTAATGGAACTACATCTCTTTCTTTAAGCCAGCCATGCTATGTGCACTCTTCATCCTACAGTAACAGCTTTCCTAAGCTGACAGTGGCCTTTAAATTACTGTAAACATAGGGTGCAAAATGCTAACATCCTCTACTCTAGGATGTGAGGCTGCATAAATACCATGGGCATTTTGGTATTCAATTTAGAAATCTGCATCTTAAAAAAAAAAGCAAAAAACCACCAAAACAATGAGAAAAAAAAAAAAAGCCCAAACCCTACACTTACAGCATTATGCACATTCCCAAGCAAGCAGAAAAAGAAAATACATAGTCTCATACCCAATTGCATACAGGCGTCGGATGGGAGCCTTCCAGCCATGTTTCTCGGCCTGTTCTTTTATCAGGTATTCAGCATAGTGATAGGTGACTGTGCTGGGTTTGCCAATCAAGGCCTCATACTTCAGCTCCCGGCCTGTCACCTTCTTGTAGATGTTCTCCAAGCAGAGAAGGAAAGTGCCATGGCCAAACCTGCTCCAGAAAGGAGGCCATCAGTATCCCCAGCCTCACCACTTGTGTGGCAAACGCTCCTCAGTAAGGGGTTCCTGGTATTGCCTGCTTTGGACGTGGTCTATGTACCCACAGACTTCTACACAGGCAGTTAACTATCTGGCTCTGGCTTCTTAAAATTTAGTCTTGGTTTCTCATGCAGTTGTCATGTTTCTGCTACTAATTATGTCACAGTTAAGACTCTAACACTAAAAAATGCACTGTGTCAGGAAAGATCATCTGCAGGAGTGCTGTATGAATTATACTAAAATTAATACAAGTGCTTTTTACCTCGGCATCTTGGCTTCAGCCATCCATAGGAGATCCATGTTGCAGGCAAGGACAGGTAGATGGGGGTATGGTATACCTTCTGGGTCTGCCCCAGGGTTCCCATTGCTCAAGAGCACATCAATAATAAGTTGCAGGCTTGTCTCCCACCTCACTGGCTCACCAAACAAAACCACCCCTGGAAGATTTGAAGAGATGCTTGGAAACTTACGGTACCCACATATAGGACCCGATGCCAAAAGCCACCCATGACCAAAAGCACCCCCTATTCCATATTGGAATGCCCTGGCTAATACAACTACCTACAGAACACAGCTGGTATCCGAGCTCCATCTGAGTAATGCTGTACCAAACTCACCACTGCTTCCAGGTGCTGGAGCACAGTGTGCAGAAAAGCTGACTTCGCTTTTACCACTTGTGCTTCGTGTTATGTGGAGACAGCATAGCTGCCTCCTGGCTGTACTCTCTGCGTAAGCTGCCTGGGGATACTGATGAGCTGACAGCACGTCATTAGCTCCCATCCCAGCTGGCTTGCATTACTGCTATTTCTGCTTGCTGTTCTCACATAAACAAAGGCCGCTGCTTACCTTCTATAGTGGGAAAGCCAGTGGTTGGAGGAGGCTGCCAGAAAAAAAAAATGCTAGGTTAGCAATGCAAAGTCTAATGTCATCTCCAAAACAAAACTAGAAATGTAATCCCATAAAGAACTGGGACAAGGCCACTTTGAATCCTGAGAAAGACTTCCCCTCCTTCCCCATCCCAGCCCAGTTTTCCCAGCTCTTGGCCCCAGAGATGCCAACCAATTTACCGTGGCCACTGCAAGGACAATCAATACAACACTGGCATGTTAAAGCAGGGAGAAAAGTTGCTGCCCTTCCAGCAGGAGCCAACGGTGAAAGAGCACCGAGATATTGACTGCTCAGTGCCAATCCTGCGCTCACACTGAAGACAGCCACTAGCAGCCAGGTGCTGCTCCAACCCATGCTGTTTGCTGAAGTCAACACTTTGCCACCCCTTTGACCCATGTGTCAGGAAATTACCAACTCCTTTGGCCTCCGGCTCTGATCCACCATGTCTAACAGGGGATACGCCTTCCGCAGCGCCTCTATGGTGACCACATGCTTGAACCCCAGGCTATTTCAATTCATCAAGGAAAGACATGAAGACTCTTTCTTGTTTGGTTTTGTTTTTTGAAGTCACTAGTAAGGGCATCTACAGGATTAGGAAATACAGGTCCTTGCAGCAGAGCTGTTACATGTACATGGTAATGCATAACATTTTGACTTTCAGTCAAACTGTAAGTTAAGCTTCAACCTAAAGGTGGCTTTGAAGTTTACCAAAAAGAAAAATTAAAAAAAAACAAAAACAGGATGGGTGATTTCCTCTGTGATCAGGAACCTTTGGAAGTAGGCAAAGAGCAGAGGTGAGTCCAGGACAGATATGCTTCAAGAGCCCTTAAAGGCCCAGGTGTTTGTACCAGGACAGCCTGGGTCAGGTTTCTTGGCTAGGAGCAGAACCAGGAAAGCTCTGGTCAGCTTAACTATTGAAAAGAAAACGGGCATGCTGTTAAAACACGCAAGGGAAGGCTGAGTTGCATTCACATGCAAAATGCCTCGCCATTAGCTCACCTTGTTTGCCTTGAGGAAACATGCACAGGCAGATGTTTCACACTAAGTGCAGCCAAAGGTTAAGCACAAGGTGTGAGCACGTGCACACACAATTGCAGAAGGGCAGAGTCTGTTGTTATGTCTGTTCTCTTTTTCAGTCTTGTCCTTCACTGGACCTATTAAGCTAACTCCAAGAAGCTGTTCAAAGCCTCAGAAAAAGAACCACAATCCAAATCCACCCCTTTAGAGAAGCTAAGTGAGCAGCAGCAAGTTTGGACAAGGTTCTCCTTCCTGCCATTGGAGGTGACATAGCTTCAAACACCCAGGGAATGAGGCAATGCAAATGAGGAGGAGATGCCCACGGCACTTAATGATGAAGCTGATGGACTGAAGTGGTGAGCACATGCTGCAGGTAGATCTTAAGCTCCTTGCAGATATGGGCTATGTCAGACCTGCCATGCCCTCAGCAAATCAATATGCACTTGGGATTGTCTCTGTATTATGATGCTCTTGTTCTAATGATATTTCAGCTGCTTCAAGTGCTCTGAGATTGCTGGAGAAAACCTTAGCTGTGGGAGTGCTCAGAGTGATCCATTTTGCCATGAAAACATTGCACAGAGCAAAATTTTATCTCAAAAGTGAAAGAGGCCCGAAGTGTCTGGTCTGTGCTGCCAGCAGGAGGAGCAACACAGCTCAGGAGAGAGGGAATCTGCATAAGAAGCAAAAACTGCCCTAGGTAAGATGGGAGGTGACTGAGGTCAATAGCAAGCACCTAGATGTGAGCCCGCCCTTAGGACGACAGCAACGTCGTCGTTTCCTTGCGCTTCTACCAGCTGACGGAGCATTTAACAAGGATGAGCGGAGTGCCACTGGCTGAACGCAGCAAAGGATACTTGCGGGCATTCTCCTCCACCGGCCCCTGCCCAGCCACCAGCATGCACTTCGGGTGGAACTGGCCGAAGAGCCGCAGCGGGCTGTGGGACAGGATCACCTGCTCCGGAGACACCTGCGGGCAGAGCAGAGGCTGTGGGCGGCGGTGCAAACCGTCTCCTTGCCGCCACCCAGGGCTCCGTCCGGACTTTGTCTCCCCACGCGGCCGGCCCCGACCCGCAGGACCCGAGCTCACCTGCAGCCCCAGCGCCTGGGACAGCTCTCGGGCCTTGGCCGCCCGCAGGCAGTTGCCGGCGTTGGTCAGGAAGACGACGGGCACCCTCAGCCGCCCGCCCGCGTCCGACAGCCTCCGGAAAGCCTCTCGGGCGGCGGGCACCACCTGGCTGCCCCGCACCAGCACCCCGTCGATGTCGAAGAGGAAGCCGAAAGCCGGCGGCTGCAAGGCGAGCGGAGGGCACGGTCACCGGCGCGCCGCCATTTGCTCGCCCCGTCCCCCACCCCGCAGCGCGGCTCCCGGCGCCCTTCCTAGGACGCGCCGCCCGCCCGCTCCCCCGCCGCTCACCCGGCCCCCGGCGCAGCCCCGGCGGGCGGGCGGCCCCGGCGGCCCCGCGGCGCGCAGAGCCCCTCGGCCGGCCCGCAGGCAGCCGCGCAGCGCCATGCCGCGCCGCTCCGCCCGGCTCGGCTCGCGGCGGGGCACGCCGGGGCGCGTAGTTCCCGGACTACAGCTCCCAGCGGGCGCGGGGATGGCGGGCGGGGCGGACCGAGGGGCAGCGGTGCCCTCCGCGCTGCTGGGGGGAGGGATCTCGGCGCTGGGGTCCGCTGAGACCTGAGAGGAGCCGAAGGTACCCTTCGTGGCCGTGGAAATGAAACAGTGCCGTTTTGCTTTCTGGAGAGGGTTAAGATCTCCTGACTCTTGCCGTAGGGCAGTATGACTATAAGCATCAATTACACAGAGTGGGATTGTTTGTTTCCATTGCCGTGCATGCCAATATTCGTTCATTTTGACTCACTTTCACACCCAGAGCCTTTTCTGCAGAGCTGTTAAGGTGCTGGCAGCACGGGGTTGTACATTTGTATGGATGGTTACACCTCCCTGAAGTGCCTTTGCCTTAACTGAATTGCCTGCTGCTTCTTTTACATCATTTCCACAACCTGCCTTGTCATTCTGATTTCTCATTATAGAATTTAGAATCACAGAATCATCTACTGGAAAGGAACCCTTAAAGGCCATCTGGTCCAATCCCCCTGCGGTGAACAGGGACACCCACAGGTAGATCAGGTTGCCCAGAGCCCCCTCCAGCCTGACCGTGGGTGTCTGCAGGGATGGGGCATCCACCACCCCTCTGGGCAACCTCTTCCAGTGCCTCTCAACCTTACTGTAAAAAGCTTCTGTATATTCACTCTAAATCTCTCCTCCTTTATTTTGAAACCATTTCTCCTTGTCTTATCACAGCAGACCCTAATGAGCCAGTGTGTTCCCTTCTTTCTTCCAGTCCCCCTTTAGATACTGAAAGGATGCTATCAGGTCTCCCCGGAACCTCTTTTCCAGGCTGGACAGCCCCAGCTGCCAGGGCACATTGCTGGATATGAGGTGCCCACTCCCAGATTCTTTTTGACAGGACCGTGCTCCATCCTTGCATCCCCCAGCCACAACCCAGATACAGACCTGCACTTGGACTTATTGAACCTGATGAGGTTTACCTAGGCCCACTGCTCAAACCTGCCTGAGTCCCTCTGGATAGCATCCCATCCGTGAAGCATATTGACTGCACCCCACAGTTTGGTGTCATCCATGAACACTCGATACCACTGTCGATATCATTCACGAAGGTACTAAAGCACTAGTCTCAGCACTGACCCCTGAGGGACACCACTCATCACTGATCTCCATTCGGACACCGAGCCATTGACCACCGCTCCCCGTGCACGATCCCGCTCCCAGTCCCTCGAACCACCCGTGCAGGGCCGCGCAGAGCCGCCAGGTGTCCCCGCTGCTCCACGCCGGGGCAAGAAGGGGAAACGGGAGCGAGCCCTGGAGGTCGGCTGCAATGGAGAGCTGCTCTCTTTCACCCTCTCGGGGCGAGCTGTTGTCCCCTCTACTGCAGTTTGGGTTGCGTGCTCTTTTCTTCCTGCGGATCAGCAGGAAATGCCGCTCGCACGGTGGGAGTAGGGCTGCCAGCCCCCCGACGCGGGGTGGGCAGCTCATGGCCAGACTGTGGGGATCCAGCCACGTTCCCAGCCAAGCATGCACGGCTATAGAGGTCCCCGAAGTACGCGTGTGCCCCAGCTCCCAGGGCTGGCAGCAACGCTGTATTTATTTTTATAAGGAAGACAGCCCAGCAGGCTGAAGTGTTTATTTTTAAAGCCCCACGAAGGAGTTTGCCAGCGGTCAGGCACAAGCTGGGCCTGGCACACAAGGCCAGGCCTGGAGCGGTACGGCTGCCAAGCTCCACACCCTGCAGTACCCGCTTTGGCTGCCGAGAGCCTGCCCTGCTGGCTGCAGCAGGCCTTAGTTTGCCCATCCCCAAGCCTGTGACTTTCCCTTGGAGCTGAGGCTTTTGTCAACGCTGCTACCTGGAGCTCTGGCTCTGCATGTTACACGTGGCCCTGAGGATTCCTTCTAGGGGCGCATCTGTTGCCAGCTGTATCCCTAACACCCACAGAGCCCCAGAGGCGGTCTCTGCCCCTCTCACGCCAGCCCATGGGAGACTCTTTTTCATCTCTTCGATGTTTCCCCGCCCCCTTCGCTTTCAAGGCAAGCACAGCAGTTGGTTGCCCACAGCCTCCTCCTTTGGTTTCTGTGTAAACCCTGCAGCTCTGTTTTCCCCGGGCTCTCAGCCCTGTCATCACCCCCTTACTGACCTTCTAACACCCTCCTTGGAAGCAGCTCACCTTCCCTCGCTTTTCTTCCTGCAGAGGCCCCAGTGGGCCGAGCCAGCCCTCCCCCCCGGCTTTATCTCCTCTCCCTCCCTGCTGCAGACTGCCTGTGGAATGATGGACAACCGAGAGGTTGAGAAAATACAGTAAAATGCCTTTCTTATCCCGTAATGACCTAGGGGGAGGACACGGCCTGATAAAAATGACAGGCCAGGAGAATTGAGAGCCAGACCCTTCACCTGCCTGTCCCTCAGCGGGCAGAAAATACTCGATTCACTTGCCATCACTGCAACTGCTGCAAACCTTTAAAGAAAGGAATTAAGCACTTAGCCAATTAGAGCTGCAAGTTTCTGGCCAAGGAAGTGTCCTTCTGCTGCTTGGAAAGAGACTAATTCAGCGATTTGCAGCTGAAAAACCTACCTCAGGTTGAGCAGCCCTGTGCTTTATGGCCAGACAGAAGGGTTTGCATAGCACCTGGCCTCTGTGTGGTCCCACTGCGGCAATGGAGGTTTGCATATAGTCCCACTGGCTTACTTGGGCCTACCTCTATTTTCAACCAACTGTTTTACTTCTCTGTTTTTGTTGGCTTGATTTTTGACAGCAACTTATAGTGCTGGATCAGCAGTTTTCTGCCAGTGAGTGACCAGAAGGTAAACACCTCATTTACTGGAGTGCTCCAAAGGTGATGTGAGCTGCTGTGCCACAAAACAGCCATGGATTTGTGATGGTGTGCACTAACAAAGCTCTGTCCATCTCCCCTTTACACAAATCAAGCTTGAAGAGGCCACAGGGAGCAACTGGTAAGGGAGAGAGCGGGCATAAGGTATGAAATGTGCCTGTGACAGCTTGAGGTAGCCAGTACAGAGAAATCTCAGGATTTTCTGCTCTCCTTCCTTGCTCCTGAGACCATATGAACATGAAAGGGGGCTCTTTCTTCCCCATCAGCTCTAGCTTTGTGCAGCACAGCCTCTTATCACTCTCATTGCTGCCTCCAGCCCTGTTCACTCCAGTGCCACCCCTGTCTCAGGTTCTCTAGCTGGCCCGTTCTTCCCATGCCCACCACTATTAGGATTGGGGAAAAGAGGCCAGGGCTGTACCACATAGTTAGCTGATGCTCCAGGAAGCACTTGTCAACTCTGAAAGAAATGGGCTGGTCACAGAGTGTTTACCCTTCTTGTTTTCCTCTGTTAAAATCATGCTAGAAGCGGGTGAAATGACCTGCAATAGTTCCTTTTACTTGCTATGCTGTGGCCACTGCAGAGATGGTACAAAGCTGTAACGGGAGGAGAGGTGGGACAGGCAGATCATGTCCATCAAGTGATATTCCTTGAAAACCATGACCCAGAGCTGGATGCAGCTACTGTGTGGAGTGGGGAAGAGGGGCTGGGAGGGCAACCCAGGCTCAGCTCCAACATACTAGCCCTGTGGGTCAGACTGTCCTTTGCACCATGCTGAGAGGGCATCTCAGTCTCACAACTGTACTCCTCTGAGTGATGTGGAACATCCCCCTTGTGCTGCGCATTCCAGAAGGAAACTTTGCATAAAATACAGGTATCCTCAGCTCTCTTTTTGTTGCTTCATTTCTTAAACAGAGAAGTACTGGAAATGGGTTCAAAGATTTAAATGAATACTGCGTTCAGAAGGACATGTGCATGAGAGCATTACATATGATGTACATTAAATGTGATCAGGGATCTAAGTACTAATTGTACAGAAACAAACTGGCAGCAAAACACTTAAAATGTTGTTGTGAATGTTAAAAGCCAAGTCTCAGCCAAGCCCCATAGCCAAGTTAACCCTAAGCCTTGAAGCTGTCTGAATAGACACATTCTCAACTGCAGTGGCTCAGCCTTAATCCCTCCTTTTTGCACACCTGGAGCTGAAGAGGTGGGGATGCGGTCTGGATTTTTCTATTAGGATCCTTCTCTGAAATAAGGTATGCTCTAAAAAAGAGTCGGTTGCCAGCTGTAAAACAGGGCAGCCCTTCTCCCGTCTAACCCTACAACTCTGAAAACAGTTATCACTCATCTTCCAAGGGGACTCCTGGGAAGGCCTCACAGATGGCAATGCCCTGTTCAGGAGATACAGGGAAGGCTATACCCTGGAGTCAGAGGTGTCTGTTCAGTTCAGGTTCACATTTAAACATACCTGATCAGGTTAGGAAAGTGTCTGCCATCTGACCAACCCTAAGATGGACACTTCTAGCAGCAGGAGATCACAAGTCAGAACATAGGCCTGCACAGTCAGGTTTCACCTTTCTGAGGGCTTTGTCTGAAGATCACCTCAGACCTTCACAGTTTGAACTCCCCAGTGATTGTGATTTCTATGCTGTAATCCCAAACAGTATCACTCAGTGGTGGCTCCTTATATCTGCTATTAGCTTCATTTGGTCAGCAATGAGGCTTGCCCTGGAGGAAGAAACTCATGGAGAATAAATACTTCCTCCCTGCCCGTACAGCAAAGGTGAAATATTGAGGGGACTCAGAGGGACTTGGCTTTAGGTCACTGGTGAGCAGTCATCCTACCTGTTTGCAACAGCTTTCTTCAGCAGGATTAGACATGAGACATTTACCCAGGTGGTAGTTATTATGGGTCTGAAAGGAATGCCTGCATTGGGAACTTCAGACTGAGCTCTGCATGCTAAACCCATGGAGGAGGAAAAGGAGGAAAGGTGCTTCTACAATTGCTTCTCTTCTAGTATAAAGCTCATCCCATGGACAAATGTGCAGTGAGGCCCACAGAAGGCTGAACAGCAAAGATTGGCTGTGGGGGCAAGAGGAAGGTGTGGGTCATGCGGGTAGATCTGAAGCTGAAAGCAGCTGGTTGGAAAGGCCCAGCAGAACCCAGCACAGAGCCCACCCGCTCCATGTGGTGTCTAACTGGCTTCTACTTCTGCTTTCAGTGGCTTGCCTTGCTGGCTTCTGCAATCCAGCTGCCTTCCGTTTGCAGTGAGTTTTTGTTGGTTTTGCCTTGGATTTCTAGGCAGAAGCATGTGGGTAGTGAGTATATTTGTCTCCTGATAAGGTGCTTTAACCAAGGTTAGTGGAAATAAAAAATGACCAGGCAGCCTGGGACAATTAGCAGGATGCTTAAAGGGAGCCAATTTGCCCAAGCTGGTCAGATCAAGAAACAGCAGTCCACTCAAATCTTGGGCTCTGCGGAGGAGGCACCTTTCAGAAGGAACATTTGTAAGATCTCCCTTGGCTGCTGTAAACCAGGGCAATTGTGCTAATGCCAGAGAGATGCTGGTTGACCCTGGCTTGTTCCTGGAGTCTGTGTACTCCAGGTTTTTGCTGGATTTATTTAGCATCCTGATGAATATTTTTTTAATCCCTATGAAACTAGTTCTTTCCCTGATTTTTTTGAGCTTGTTAACTAAGGGAGTCCACTTGTCTAGGCACAATTTGCTGTGTAGCTGTTGTAATAATTTTTAGTGAAAATATTGGCAACTGCAAAAGTCCAAGTGAATGTATTGGATATGCGCAGTATGAGATTGGTTCTCACCAAGGTGAATATCACCAAGGTGAATGGGCTGAACAAGGCAATAAAGGCCAGTATTGGAACCCCTTGATATCAAAAGGCACTTCCTATAAATTCAGAGCCTATGTTAATACCTTGAAGGGCAGGATGAGTGTTTAGTCAAACAGGATCTGGGAAGCCAGGATGGGTTTTCTCAGGTGAAAAGTGCTTAGCTTCCCTGTGATCAGAAAACAGGAAAGGATTCTGCAGGGAAGAGAAAAGAAAACAGCCATGGGCAAATGAGGCACCCCTTTTTGTCCTTCTGATCTCTGTGCAACCAAGCTTACACAGTCTGGGAACATTTGTATGGTTCTATCTGCTTGTTTCCAGCCATGGTAGGTCCTGAAATAGCAGACGTCAAACCTACGACTGGTTCTTCAACCCAGCAGTGCTATTTTGGCAGCAGGCCCAGGGTTAAACATAACAAGAGTCATTTTCAGTCCTTGCTCTCCGAAGGTCAGTGGCCCAAATGGCTGGATGTTTGTCTTAGCTGTTTCTGGACAAGGTCTGCATTTTGTAACAGTAAGGCAAAATTCAGGGATCCTCATGTTGGCAATGATCCACTAAGTCTAATTAGAAGGCAAGTTTTTTCTAAATAAGGATGTCAGGATTTGGTCATCAGCAACTTACAATTGTTTTGACTATTTTGAATGGCATGCTCTGCTGGTATTGTTACAGAGGCTTGCTGCTTCATTTTACCTCTAGCCCCTGACTTCTCCAGGATAGCACAGCTCATTCCTAGCATTAAGTTCAGCTTAACCACATTGCCCAAGGCTGGCTGAGACGTAGAGGTTCCTTCATCTGCTCAAGTCACATGGAAGAAGCAGGCTGCCTCACAGCAACAAGGTTGGCTTTCTCTGGCTTGCCAAATGCCTTCCGAGACAGATCTCCTCCCTTCTAAAGCTCCATCAATGAGCTATCAGTGAGATCAGCCACAAATTGGTCCCATTTTTTCTGCCAGACCTCTCTGGCCTTGGCTTTTTCATCCAGTAGCATGGCACTGTATCTGCAAGGAGTTGAAAAGCCTGTATGAGACAGGAGTCAAGGAGGCAGCTATTCCAAGATCAGTGACCGTAATGAAAAGGCAGGAAGCAGCAACAGATTAACCCTTTGGGGACATACCTATACTGCTCAGTGTAACACTGCGTCCCAGCCATTTCAACACCTACTGAATGCTGCACCATGAGAACACACCAGCTCAACCTCCGTAAGCTGAGGGCTCACTGAGCAGCACCCAGTGCCTCATACAGGACAGATAGCTCTGCTGCCTCCCCTTGGAGTTGATCCAAATCAGTAGGAATGTTTGTTGTCTTCCTGGCCGTGCAGGGATTTGGGACTGGCGTGGGATTTGGCAAGCAGACAAAATTCTAGGAATGTGGAGAAAGGCCCTGCGCACCATAGTCAAATTATTTTGGGACATTCATAGCTGTCTGGGTAAACAGAAAAAAGTGGTTAAATTCAGCCAAACTGCAAGCTGGTTAATTGTTTTCCTGTGTTTCCCCAGTGGGTCGTGACAAATGTCAGGACAAGTCAGATTCAAGCAGAAATAGTCCAACAACATAATGGTCCAACAACATAATGCTTCTCCCCTACCCAGAACCAGGCATTGGAGGAAACTTTGCAAAAGGGTGGAAAAAGAAATAAAAAATTGAGACACTGGAACAGAGAAAAGCACTCAAGGGCACGGACAGGGGGTCCCTGTGTTCTCCTCCTGAAGGAGACATGCAGAGGAGGCTTTGGATAAACAGAAGCTTAGTTCATGTGGCAGAGAAGATTGTGACCAAAACCCAAATGAGGTGGTTTTTCTGAGAGCAAGCTGATGTTCCTCAGCATTGCTATGCCTAGATGAGAGAGATGAGAAACTTACTTTATGGAGTTGAGCGCAAGTTGTTTCAAGGTCCTCAAGTCAGCATTCATCCCTCCAATGGCCATGAATAGCTCATAGAAGTCATAGGAGACACCCTTTGCCCCAAAGATAGAGGGATCATCAGGGCTGACCACAACAGGGTGTCCTTCAGCCATTAGAGTGGCTGCGGGGTGGCTCCGCAAGTCAGATACCAACAGCAGCACCTTGGTGGGAAGACAGCACCATGTCAGGTGGTTATGGCTGTACCCATGTTTGGACCCATCACACTATGTACCTGATGTAGCTGCTTAGGTCAGCAGGCAGACACTGGGGAGGAGCCTGAGGGCTATTCAAAGCATATTAGGTATTGTGCTCTGAATTGCTGCAGGAGGAGCCTACTTTTCTCCACTGACCGTATTTGGAGATTGGTTTCTTAAATTAATCGCCTCAAGTCAAGGCTAGCACTATGAATAACATCTGTTTATTTATTATAATTTAAATGTGAGCATTTCAGGAGCAGTCTTTTGGTTACACTTTTGCCCTGACACTTAGCCTGGGGCACCTGGAGCTGGTGTCAAGGTCTCTCCCTCAAGGCCCACTCCAGCATCTCTCTGTTCTGAGCATCCATCCTGCTGTGCCCAGGGGACAATGTACATCATGCTTATCATAGAATCACAGAATGGCCTGGGTTGAAAAGGACCATAATGATCATCTAGTTTCAACCCCACTGCCAAGGGCAGGATCTCCAACCACTGGACCAGGCTGCCCAGAGCCACATCCAGTCTGGCCTTGAATGTCTTAAGGGACAGGGCATCCACAACCTCCTTGGGCAACCTGTTCCAGTGCTCCACCGCTCTCTGAGTGAAAAATAATAATGTGTAGCAAAAGAGTTCCCCTGGCTATGAATTCTACCAAACCAAAAGGACAGTTGCTGTCTTGGCTTATCACCTTCCAGCCCTCCTAGCTTTAAAGAATTTTCCATCTCTTTAGTGTCTCTTTAGGTACCTCCCTGTCTCTGAGCCTCATCTCCACCAGGAGCACTGCCTTTCCAGGTTTACCTGGATATGAATTTAAAGGATTTTGAGCTAACTGGTGTCACAGGCTCTATACTCAGGCAGCATGCATCTATATAGCAGACTGTAGTGTAATGCAGTGCAAAGGAAACTGAGCCAACCTGTGTGCAACAAAATATCTGGCTGCTTCCAGTTCCCAGTTGCACCTCACTGCTATGGCAGATACCATTCCAATGACCCAGCCCCCAAGCCTAAGCTTTTACCAACATACCTGGTTGGAGATGGGACAGACTTCTACAGGAATATCCCTCTTCAGAGACAAATTTTTGGCTACTGGGTGTTTAATAAGGGCAAGTCCATGGCCAATCCGGCTGGTATTCAGTATCAGAGCATCCAGCACATTGTTGTCTACAGAGGTGCCCTGCCAGTCTGAACAGAGACAGGTAAGAATCACTGCAGTGCTACAAGGAAATGCATCTTCTCAAACTGCTACATGCTTTTCTTAATGCATGCCTTGGTTGCAAGATGAGGGGATTGCTCATGTTCTGAGTTCCAACTTTGCGTTTTCAGTGAAATGGGAATTCAAATCTGCCCATGGCACATGGCACTGCTCAGCATCAAGAAAGCCATTCATCTCACCTGGCAGTAAATGTCCACAGTATTTCTCTTACAGCTAAGCTAATCGTGTTGGTCTCTGCTCACAGTCAAGGGAGATAAGTACTGATTTCTAGGGAATGGCTGTGCATTAGGATGAGATGCAGTGCACCTTAGAATTGTGGATGTGAAGGGAGCCCAGGGTAACCAGTTGAGATTTAGACATTTTCACTGTAGATGTCAACATTTAATAAGTGCAATGTGGTAGTCAGACACAACTGTCATGCATAGTTCGGATAAATACTATCCATATTGACTGAATTGGGACCAGCAGCAGTACTAGCTCTTGCAGAGTGACTACACCAGGACAGAGATACCGACCAACATGAAGCCTACACAGGTAGTGGAGGCATCATGCAGAAATGCTACAGCCACAATCTGGTGTGGGAAGCACGGGAAAAACACAGCACACACCCCCACCATCTTCATACCAGGCTTGCTACTTCTCTCCTTTGTGAGTCTTCACCTCCTACCTCTGTAAGCAGTAACAGGCCTTGAGTCCTCATGCTTACCTGTCTCTCCAGCATGGAAGAAGTAAGGCAGGTTGACCCCCAGGGAATATGGGATGGTCAGGACATCCTTAAATTCCCATAAAGAATGACCTTCATCCTCATTGCCAACCTGGGGAGCAGAAAGAAAAAAAGTGTTTTTGAACATGCCCTGGAAGACTGTGGGTCCTACAGCTGGAAAACACCATGTGATGCCAACTGCACCAAAAGTACTATGCTATGTTCTGAGTGGGAGCTATGGGGCTGATTCCTTTTTGGGTTTGGGTTTTTTGTTTTTTGGTCTTTTCGGTCAATTACTGCCAACAATATCCTTTGCTAAAGGATATTTGACTTGTTTACAGTGATTTCAGTACAGTGGCAGAGGATCTGGCTCTGGTATAACACATGCCTTACTTACACACAGCTACATTGCACCACTAGGGGTTAACTCAAAGCCACAGAAGAAATTCAGTTACCAAGTCGAAGCCTGCCAGAGTATCTGGGAAATGGGCTTTGAGTTCCATGGCGGTGATGATGGCTTCTTTAATCTGGGAAACATTCAGCATCCTAAAGAGCACAAGAGAGAAGGCAATGAGCAGGCTCACATCCACAGGCCCGCCTTCTTTGGAGTTGTCTGAACTGTGAACTGGGGCCCTCAGGGCTATTTCCAAAATGCAAAGTTGCTCCTGAATCCGACAGCCAGCTTCAGGTCTCCAGAGTAACAGCAGCAGAAAATTGATATTACGAAAGGAAACCTCTGAATGACCAGGAAATGCCTGGCTAGACAATTCTGTCACTTGAGGTGAGGCATGCTTGGCTAACACTCACTGGCTTTTCTCTTACACCAAGAAAGGAACGCTGCAGCATGGAGAAAAAAAGGATTTTGTGTTGTTGTTGTTGTTATTGTTGCCTCTCTACCATTTTACTGGGAGTTGGGACAGCAGCTTCATGTCAGTTGTTTTAAATCTAGCTTTCCCCCAGCCCTGTTGGACTTGCACATCAAAGCGCATTTTCCAGAAGGGCTCTGTCCATACCCACACTGGCCAGTGGCAAGCTGCTCTGAACTGGAAACTGCATTGTGCTGAGACAGAGTGAGTAAGTGCCACTAAGAGATATGTTGTGTTTGCTCCGAATCACCTCACATGACTTTGTGGCATCTGGCTGATTTGGAGAACAGCCTTGTGCCTGCCTGTGAGCAGCAGCACAAGCATAGCGTACATAGGCTGCCAGGGAACAGCACTCACAGGGTCCTCTGAGGACCTCTGCTGTGCCCTGTGCCCATACTCGGGCACTGCTGTCCCTGCTCAGCTCCACAGGGATGGTGAGTGCAACCATGTGAAAGTCTTCCCCTAGCTCAAGCCTCTCATCTCCAGAGGAAACCCACAGGTGTGGCATCGCTAAGTGATGGCATCATTTCCAGCCCACCCCTCAAAAAGCCCTGTTTGGATAGCACTCATTTTCTACCTGTGTGCCGTGAAGATAACTTTTACTCCAAGGAAATCGGGATGCTCCTGCACAAACTGCCTGCTCACCTCCTGGTACGCTGCCACCGACCAGGACTTGTTGTGCCGAGTGCCATCGAGCTCATACACCTGTGGGCCACATAGGAAGCAGGAGTTTTAGAGGGGAGGTTTCATTACAAGAAACAAGGAGCAGTATTTCTCCCCAGTATGTGATACAAGAACCAAGCTTCCCCATGCTCACCTCTCTGTGCTGCAGCCTTGTGTTGCCCACCACTAAGCCTGGTACCCCATCACCTCCCGCCATATCCTTGCCAGCACCCGGGTGGCTGCAGATATCATAGTGACATTTCCACTGCCACTACTCATGGGAAGCTGAGACTTTGCACAGCTGAACTTGCAAATACAGCTGGGAGGCTTTTCTGCAGCGTTTGCTATTTCACACTAAATCTCAGCTTTCATTTACTTTACTTCAGTGTTCACTCCTGGCAGGTTTTGTTGCAAGGCGAGCTCCTGCAGCGTGGGTGCCATTGCCCCAGCATGGATGAGGGCCCCCAGGCACATAGCTGCCTTGCTCTCCCCCTCGCACTCTGCTTAGAGAGCTGGATGGAGTATGTGTCTGGGAAATGGAAACAGCCACTGAGCTGGGGGATCTGCTGCAGCCATGGTGGGCTCAGAGTGCTGGGAAGGTGTCAGGTAGCTTGGGACTGCTGGATGGTGCTCAAGCGGAAGTCTGACTTGTCACCAGCAGACATCAGCACTAGCAGCAATGCAAGGAGCATCTCCTAGCCAGAACTTTAGGTTGTCTGCAGTGGAAGGCTACATTTTGCAGTTGGTACAGTATTCTGCTCAGATAAGTCATTCTGAAATAAGGCATAAATTTAAAATAATGCAGCTGATCCAGAATAAGTCTCTGCTACAGGTGGGAAAGTATTCCAGAACAGGTGATTCTGGCACAGACTGAGTATCTTCCAAACCAGCAAGATGAGACACAGCTCCAGTCAGATGGTACAAAGCAGTTTGTACTGTTGCCACAGTCAGTATCTTCCTTAACCATTAAGAACAAAGCATCTCTCATTTCCAAGCCCTCAAGCATGCAAATCTCCTGCAAAAACCTTTGAATATGATAAAGCTCTTCCAGCATCCTGACAAGGCCAGGTATGCAAACATCCAAGAACTAAATTCAAGCTAGGGCTTGAGAAAAGTTTTGGAGAAATGAAAACTTAAAGGAATACTAGAGAAGCCAAAAAATACATACCGCAGGCAGGATAGCTCTTATCTCAACATACTGTATGTTATCCTCATAAAGCTCCAACAGCCCTTGGTAGAAATAGGCCTTGAACACAGGTGCATAGCAGATAAGTCCAGAAGCGATGAGAAAGACTTCTTCAAACCTTTTCCAAATGAAAGCCTGGGAAGGGTAGGCCAGCTCCGGGGCATCCGTCACCAGGGTCAAGTTTCTCAGCAAGCTGCAGAAAAGGGGAAAGGGAAGAGGAAGAATCAGGAGAGAGGGGAAGTCAGCTGGCTTTCAGCCTGCAAAAAGAGGGACGTGTTCATAGAGGAGGATCAAGGGAAGAAGCAAAGCAGCTCCTGCTGCAGCAGGGGCCCAATTCCTAACCTGAAGACTGAGAATACCGCAAGGCATATAGGTCTAGCAACTGATACAACTAGGAGACATTCAGATCTTTTTTTTTTTTTTTTTTTTTCCAGCTATTTTAACTCTCCTAATGGCTGGTACAGATATCATCTGTACCTTGTGATGGATAAAAAGTCATGCACTACGTGTTAAGCTGGATAACACTTGACGATCAAAGTACCCATCATGTTGAGGGAATATCCAGAAAGAAGCAAGGCAAGCAGGTCAGGAAGGTAATTCTGCTCCTTTGCTCTGCACTGGTGAGGCCTTGTCCAGAGTACTGCATCCAGATATGGAGTCCTCAGTACAGGAGAGATGTGGACCTGTTGGAGTGTGTCCAGAGAGACACAAAAATGATCCCAGGGATGGAATACCTCCCGTATGGGGACAGGCTGAGAAAGCTGGGGCTGTTCAGCATGGAAAAGGCTCCAGGGAGATGTGAGAGCAGCCTTTCAGTATCTAAAGGGGGTTGGAAGAAAGAAAGGGACAGACTCTTTAGCAGGGTCTGTTGTGATATGACAAGGGGAAATAGTTTCAAACTAAAGGAGGAGAGATTTAGATTGGATATAAGGAAAAGGCTTTTTACAGTAAGAACAGTGAAGCACTGGAGCAGGTTGCCCAGAGAGGTGGTGGATGCCCCATCCCTGGAGACACCCAAGGTCAGGCTGGATGGGGCTCTGAGCAACCTGATCTACCTGTGGGTGTCCCTCCTCACTGCAGGGGGGAGTTGGACCAGATGGCCTTTAAAGGTCCCTTCCAACTCAAATAACTCTATAGTTCTACGGTTCAATGATTCTATGATTTTATTATCTTGGAGTAATGAGACTTTAGAAAAGCAAGCATGATGTTTTTTATATCCTAAGAATTGCACTCTGTTACCCAGGAGTATATCTCAAAGTAGGCTAATATGTTACTCCCGCAGACCATATATTCTCCCAAGCATCTTAAATGCATGTCAAGTATTTTGACACCTGTCCATCAGTTCACTGGGCAGTCTCCAGGAGATGCCAAGACCACCATTATTGTGACTTCTAACCTGTAACTTTCCCCAGTACCTTCTTTTTATCAAAATGTGCCAGATTATGTGGGCAGAGAGGAAATGTTTGAGAACCAGAAATCTTTTCCTCCTCTCCACTGAAACAAACCTGGCATCCCTTGACAGCGGTTACTGTTTTTTTAATAAGGTTTGGTGTTTGAAGTCTCCCTCCCACAAACATGATCTGGACCAGACCCATAAACTAAGACATGGGACATACTTTTTCATCCCTCCATCCCGACCTTACAACGAAGCCGACTCCTCAGCACCTGCCTGCTGGCTGCCGTTCCCCTCCCTCAGGGCCCTATTCCTGCAGCTGCAGTTTCATTTCTTCTTCACTCAGCTAATTTCTTTGCTGGGAACTATTTCAGAAACATAATTGTACATAAGAAAATATATTTGGATCACGCTGAGGATGAGCTTTGAAATGGCAGCCAGTCAAAAAATCCAGAGCCCCTTCAGCTTTGCCCTCCTATGCATTAGAGTGGCATCTCTACTGCACTATCACACAAGGCTGACATCCCCAGATAAGTCCAGCAAGCAATGTGACTTGGCAGAGAAGCTCTGCCACACCCAGGGAGGCACAAGGGTGATGCCCTGTGATGCTATGGCATTGCAGCTCAGGGAAGGACGCTGGAGCATCACCCCAGAGCTGGGGCATCTGTAAGGAGCTCACCTATTGTTGGCTACCAGCGAGGGGGTGTGCTTGAGGAGACACAGCATGGGAAGAGCCAGGCACCTTGGCAAGCCTCTGGGAAAACAGATGTGGCGGTGCTCCCTGCTGTCATCACCCCAGCCCTGGCTGAAGGCAGCTCCCCACCACCTCGTGCCCTGTTTTAAACTCAGGCTGTATGGACTCAAGGTTGTTTACCCAGCCTGTGCTCTTGGGCTATAAATCCTCACACCATCCTGCTCCTAAAAGCACATCAATCAAGTAACGTTTTTTTTTATAATCCCCTTTCCTTTGAGACCGATTATTGATCCCTATAACTGTTGAAGATTTATGGTGCAGTGCTGACCCAGCCTTGATAACCCAATAATCTCCTAAGGGTTCGGGCTGATAATTTTTCGCCATGAGGAGTTCATGCAGATGAAGCAAAGCTTCATAAAGACACTTTTGCTTGTTTTCCAGAATGGACCCCAGCCAGTGATCAGGTGCAGACTACAAATAGCCTTCCATGTCATGTCATATAGGCAGTGAACGATGCTATTGCAATGCGTATGCCCAAAGGGGCACAACAAAAACAATCAGCTCAGGATTATTCATTTTCGACCATGTTTTTGCTTTTCTCTTTTCTTGCTATTATTTAACTGTTTTGCTTTTTTGAACTATATAATGCAGAAGTGAATGATACGTTGTCTTGTTTTTAAAGAGCATCTTTTTCCTTCTTCTGTTTCTCTCCTCCATGGGTAATTATATCTCACTCCTCACTATAGTATCTGAATGTCTTCCAGTGGTGCATTAAATAGAGTGGCTAACATCTGTCACATGTGGCTCATTCGCTTTCTGTCTCTCTCTCTTCCCCTCTTTTCTCCCCAAGGGGAGACTTGTACAGAGAGTGGAGTGCTTTGTTTCTCTGGTGGGGTTTTGTGTACACTTTTTGTGTGTGTCTACTGCCCTATTTTCCTTGAGATAAGGCAGTGGAGGGCACAGAGGGGAGGTGATGGAGGTCTGCTGGCGCCCAAGGGATTCTCCCGCAGCTCGAGCCGTGTGTCAGCTTGCTCGCAGATGACTTCATCCTTGTGACAGGGAGTTGTGCCTGGGGGCATGGCCCCCACCCTCGGGCAGGGGGAGGTTCACAAATATCTGGCATATCAGCGCCGCTTCCCTTAAATATCTGGGGGCATGCCCATTGTCAGCCCTCACTTTCGAGATTGTGGTGATTGTGTTGCTTTTTGAGGGGAAAAATGGCATTCTCGTATATCCTAATTGATTGACAAGTAAATAAGTGAGGATTCTTTTAAATCTCAAAGCAAAATTTCCTGCCTTTCTCTGTCTCCTAACCTGTGGTGTCTTAACTCTCCCTGCAGCATCATTTTGGAAGCTAACCCCAGTAACAGGATATTCTCGGGTCTTGGCCCATAAGACTTGCAACTTGGATGTGAATGACAAAACCTTCTTTTGAGGCAAGCAAACAGAAAGACTTACTTCCAATACATGTATGAATATACATGTATATGTGGATATATATCTGTAAATGTACACAAAAATATGAACAGCAGAAACGTTACATGGCTTCCTCCCGCCCTCTTACCTTCCTGGCCAGGAATGTGGGAAGGTAAGAGAGGTGCAGTGCAAGCTTTTGGGAAACATTTTCCCTGTTCCTTCACATTTGCTGATCCACACTATCCTGTAGGAGAACCCTTTCCCAACTGCCATGCTCACTTGATAGCTCCTTGAAAGCACCCAACTATCCATCCGTTCCTCCCTCCGACATCTGCTTTCCCTCAGCTTGTCAGTGCTGAAGGGCAAAGAGGAGCGCAGGAAGAGAGGTAGCCTGGGATGCACATGTTTGAGAGGCTGGGAGGATTTCCAGGAACTGAGAAACAGAACAGACTGAGGCCAATTCCTGGCTAGAGACCTATTTTCAGGCGGCCAAATGCATTCCTAACCCTCAGACTAGTACCCAGGGATAAAATCAAAATAAGAGGGGACATGCCTCAGTGTGGCTGTTGTTCCCATGCTTGCAAATTACGTGCAGTAATTTCATTGCAATTTTGCAAGAAATAGACAGTATAAGTCCGAGCACCCAGGATGTAGGAGATCCATGTTTATATTTGGCTGCAGCACATATTTGCTGAGGAAAATCACTTCACTGGTCTTTGCATTGGTTTCCCGTTCTGCCCTCCATGAGACTTTTGCAGTACAGGATGCCACAGCCAAAAGCCTCTGCCAGGAGGAGACATCAAGCTACATAAATCCAACTAAACCCAAATACAACTCATGGGTTGGTCTACGCAAGGATCTGAGATACCCAGAGCAATTGCTTGTGCTTAAAAAAGTGGAGCTGTTTTGACATCTAATCTCTCACACATTATTTATGAGTCTCCTGATGGGGCTGAAGAGTGGTGGTCCCATGGTCTTTCCTCATTACTCCCAGAAGAAATTGAAGGAATGAGGAACAAGTTTTCTCTTTGAGAAAATGTGAAGATGTGAATAAGTGACTTCTCACTCGATCTTATTTTGTCCACCATGAGTCAGGGCAGTAAAGCCTTAGGATGTGAAAGGCTGGGAGCCCTAAGCCTAACACTACCTTCTCCTTCCATTCTGGAAGTGCCAAGACCTATGTAAGACAGGAGCTGACCTGACAGCTCCCCAGCCTCCAGCCCGACCTCCTTTCCATGCTGCAGCATGGAGCCCTACAGCTTCCATACAGAGGAGTATGGACCTAGGAAGTCTCGATTTAGAAGCACATGTGCACACACATTCAAAACCATGAAGTTTCACTCAGAAAGTGCCATAATTACAGTCACCTATGTCACCTTCATCTACCTTCCCCTTGTGTGCCAGCTCCACAATACTGTCTTCAATTACATTGAACCACACACTACAGGTTTTTCCACAGAACCCAGTAGATTCCTGGAGCCCAGCAGACAGTAGTAGCTCCTTAACCATCTCATAACTCAGTGTTTCTTTTTGTCCCCATCACTCAGTGTCTGCCTTCATGCATTATTTAGTGCATGCTATCCAGCCCCCAGACGCAGTGTAGAACCACACACTCCCCTTGGCCTTTCAGCAGGGCTTTGTCACAAGATGAACGGACCCATGGGGAGATCAGGCTTGGTCTTCCTGATACCATGTCTGGAGGGTGAGCCAGGCCATTCACACCCACCTGTAAGTCATTAAATGTGAGGTGACTGCTGGGCAGTCTGCTCACACCTGGTCCTGATAAAAGGCTGACAGCAGGGAGGGAGCTCTTGTAGAATGGTGAGATGCCTGGAGGAGCAGGCTGGGCTGTGAGCTCCCAGATGGCTATGGGAGACCTGACCTGGCGGAGAGGAGCTCTGCTAGCAAATGGTGTGCTGTCAGGCACAGAACCTATGTGTAGGGTTCATTGGCTCAACCAGTGCCCTGGCTGAGACCTAACTCCTTTTGTGGGGGCAGGTAGCATGCCTCAGAGCCTGAGATCCCTCTTGAGACTGAGTCTCTCAGTTGTCTGCTCTCCTCGTGGTTACCCTAATGGGCGAGGTGAGGTCCTTCCCCGTGGAGCCCTGTTCTCTGCTGGAAGCACATCCAGCTTGGGTGCTGGCAGAGGTTGGGGCAGGTTACATGGAGCAACTTAAACCATTGACTTCAATCTGTCTGTACAACAGACCAAAGTAGAGGTGCAGCAGAGAACTTCAAAGTTCGTAGCCTCTTATTCTGGTGTACTTAGAATCATAGAATTGTTAAGGTTGGAAAAGATCTCTTAAGATCATCAAGTCCAACTGTTTACACATCATCACCATGCTCACTAACCACGTCCCTCAACACCAAATCCACATATTTCTTGAACACCTCCAGGGATGGTGATCCCACCACCTCCCTGGGCAGCCTGTTCTTATGCCTCACTCTTCATTCTGAGAATCAGTTTTTCCTAATATCCAACCTGAATCTCCACTGAAGCAACTTAAGGCCATTACCTCTCATCCTCTTGCTGTTAACTGTGAGAAGAGGTCAACACCTACCTCACTACAACCTCCTTTTAGGGAGGTGTAGAGAGCTATTATGTTTTCCCTGAGCCTCCTCCAGACTGAAGAATCTCTCTTCCTTCAGCTGTTCCTCATAAGACTTGTACTTTAGACCCTTCACCAGATCCATTGCCCTTCTTTGGACACACTCCAGGGCTTCAGTGTCTTTCTTGTTGCATTACTTAATGCCTCAAGTTCTTTGCCATTTGCTTGTTATGCACACACAGCTTGAAATATGGTCCCCTGCTTTCAGCGCAACAAGTAAATGGGGAAACTGGTCTAGAACAATCCTGCTGGCCATGCAATGCCACCATGAAGCACCCACACCTCCTGCTTGCTCACCTGTCATCGAACTCAGTCACATTGCGCAGCTGTTTTCGATAAGTCTCCAGCAAAACCCACTGGGAGCACTGGGCTGGCACTGGGTGAGGAGGGTGAGGCTTGGAAAAGTGAAACCGAACAGTGCCCGTGTGGGTGAAGCAGATGTAGCAGTCAGGGAGATAGGTAGCATTGTATACCAGCCAGTCCACGCTCAGCATGGCATAGTCGTGCAGGTGTAGGACAGCACCTGGGGACAGGGAAAGCAAGCCGAATGAGATGATGTTCTGGGAGCAGAGGAAAGGAGGCTTAACATCATGAGAGCTTGAGTTTCCCCATCTGGGGGTGTATGGAACAGTTTCCAGATGGTTGTGGCTGACCTCTCCCAGCACAGATGGTGCTGCCTTTCCTCCCTCTGCTGAGGATGTTCACATGAGATATGGGGCAGGCAGAGCTTGACAGCAATGGGCAGCAATGGGCAGGGGGAGCAACAGGGAGCTCGGCTTCCCTACTGTGACAGAGAGTGTTCTTTCAGGCTGGCTTCTCTGAGAGCTGACTTGGTCCCTGCTGACTGAAAGAGGAGTTCTTGCAGTAGTCAGCAATTCACAAAGCATGCTAGACAAGAGGCAGGCCTGGAGAAAACCTCTGTATCTCTGCTTTGTGACTTGCATCTAGTCTGCATCTCTTCCTTCATCTCTATGGAACTCTGGCATGCATCAAAATCATAGACAGTGACACCATGGGGAACTGCCATCAGGTGCACTTCCCTTATCAAATAACTGCTTGCTTGTGTTGTGCTGCTGTGGTGGTTTTTGGCACGCTCTGCTACTGTGCAGCATGTTGGCAACTGCCAGTCTTCCTGGCACAGGAGGCTTCTGCATGCTCACCTTCTCAGCTCATCCATTTATTTTGGTGATATCTCTTTCTACAGAGACTTCTTATGCTTGAAATAAACTTCCTCTTTGTAAAGGGAAAGAATTTAAAGCTGAAGTCTTACAGACACGTGCTCTATTAGTCTAGGGGAGATGTTATCATCTAAATAGCTTTGATGCCCTAAGGAGTAAAAGGCGAACATGAGTAGCAGGAAAGGCCAATATGCATGTGACATTGGACAAACTGAAATGTCAAGACTCTAAGCTGTAGTAAACTGATTATAATATATACACATAGCCTCTATAATCCCTCACTATAAAGGGTCTGAAAGCTAAGATGTTGAGCATCTGCAGCTACTGCTCTCACCAGTGCAACAGAACGTGTGCCACAGCTGTCTAAATCCTCCTGCCACTTACAATGCTGCACTTTTTCCTGTGTTAAGAACTAAAGAGATGGCAATAGTGCTTGAAACAACAGTAATTCTTGGGGGTTCTGATCAAGGCTGAGGTCCTATTCACGGTACCCATTACAAGGATGTGAGTTTGAGCCTAAAACCTATAGTTCCTGCAAAGACTGAGAACCTATTTTACTGTATCATAGGTTGAAAGGTGTTAGATTTTTCTTTTGATTCTCCTTTTGTGTCAAAGGTACTCCACTTGGGTAAAAAGAGGCAAAAAGAGGACAACTTTTATATTCCTTATTACTCAATTCAGCAATGAAGAGATGAAGGCAACTCTGACATCCCAATCTCTTGAAGCAACTGCTCAGGATGCTGCAAGCCAAGGAGCCTCATCCCACACAGGACAGTGGGAGAGAGACACTTGGTGGTGAGCAGACAGCTCTTATCCTTGCACTAGTGTCACTGCCTGACAAATGTAAAACAAATCTGACTGCCAAGTCCTTCCAAGTGAGTCACCAACCTGTTTTCAGGCAGCCACATAGGTAAGGCCATGGGATGCTACATCTAAAAAGGGGCTTTCTGGAATGGTGAACATGCTCACAGATGTAGAGGTACAGGCAACTTTCATTGAAGCTGTCTCTTTAGTTAAAGAAGGCACTTTGTTCAATGCTTCCTTACTGAACCAGAGATGCAAAGGGAGAAAGCAGCCAGCTAGGAGTCAAGGTCTTTCTCCAGCAATTACTCTGACCTTTCCACTGAACTATCTGCAGCTCAGAGAAGTGGAGGCTCTGGGCTTGCTGCTGCCCAGCATCAGTGGTTTGGATTTCCACTTGGCTGCAATATCTTCTCCCCCTTTTCAGTGTAACCCAGAGTACTGAGCATGTTTGATTGGTAGCAACTCTATTGTGTCTGTGTGGATAAAGTACTGTGTTGAACATGGATGTCTGTGATGTCTTCATCTTAACTTCCTCTGCCCTTTCCTTGCCTTTGAAAGGCTGAAAGATCCATATTGCAAGTTACGGTGAATGCTACAATTGCTGGAAATGAGCATTCATGAAATCTAGCCACCTTTTCCTCTCCCCCTGCCCCCAGCTGAGAGGCAGGACTCCTCATACCGCCTTGCCAGCACTATTCCCAGCTCTGGGAGGCCCATCTGCAATCAAAGCTCTGCTACATCCCACGCTCTTCCCCAGCTCTGGCACAGAGAGCAGAAGGCAAGAAGAGGATGAGTACGATGAGCAATCGTTAAGCCCAAGCCTACCTTTTGGCATGCGCTTCAGGATGCTGAACACTGCGCTCTGTTCAATGAGGCTTTTTGCCCGAAAGAAGTGCATGCTAGGAGGGAACAGCCCCGTGTTCAAGGCTGCTGCGACCTCCTTCTTCTTGAGGTTGATGAGCTTCGTGCTGAGCTGCTGCTCCTGGGTGCTCAGCACCAAATTGCCACCTGTCATACTGGCTTTCTCCTCCTGCATGAGGGAGTCTCGGTCCTCCCAGAGCGGGGTGGGAAGGCAGAGGGAAGCCAAGCTGAGAAGGCACACCAGCCTTATGCCTTGCCCAGATGGAGACTTCATCTTGGAGCTGCACCTGCTGCACAAGGAGAAGTCAGTGTGTTAGCACAAGGCAGGAGCAACATCTTAGCAGCAACCCACTGAGACATGAAACTGCTGGTCCATCCTGCAGGAGAAGTGAGTTAATGGGATGCTTAATGTTGGAGGAGCATCTGGTAGTTAAGTCCCCTATGCACAGGAGCTGCATTCACATTTCCCTGCAATTCTGCTTGCTTGTGGCAAGATGGTGTTCAGAGTGGAGAGGAGAAGCTACTCCTGGGATCAGGCAGCACATCACATAGACTTGTGATGTTGGGAAGGCCCAGACCTGGAGCTGGGTGTTGGTAAGGTTGGAATTCTGGCTGGTAAACTGTGCAGAACTCCTCAGAACAAGGGGTGCTGGGGACAAGGTGCCCGAGGGACTTCTGTGATCACACAGAGTGCACCAAATCACAGAGCTGACTGAATGCTAGCTCCCTGCAGGAGAAGGCCTCGCTGCACCCCTATTGGAGGGGCTAATTTACAGGTGAAAACCCCTCTGTAGCCCCAGAGGCACAGCCCTTCCTTGCAATCTCCAAGGAAAGAGAATGGGAGGGAGCCCACGGAAGCAGCAAGAGATCACAGGCAACAGGCACATGTGAACTCGGAGAACTCTGCCCTTCCCAAAAAAGCTCAGCTGCAACATAATCCGTCAGCGCCAGGCGCCGGTGACCCTCTGCACCCATCCCTCCACACCAAAGCAGGCTGGGGGAAGGCTGAGTATTTCGGAGCAGATCCGTGTTTGTCCCGCGTTACCTCCCTGCACGCACACGGGGCTCTGTGTCTCCTCCAGCCCTGCTCCCGCTGGGGTTCCTCAGCCCCACAAGCAGCCGCACCGCGGGCCTGGCTCTGAACCAGAGCAGGAGCCATCCCCAGAGTCACCATCTCGTCCCTGGGTTGACTCACGCGGGGCAGTTCTCCACTCCTTGCACCCCGCAGTGGGGTTATCTTCTCTCTGGCGAGCCGGCGGGGCCCAGACGAGCAGCGGGCTGCGTCCCGGAGAGTCACCGCATGCACAGTTCCTCTTCCTGTGTGCAGTTTCAGTTCACTCAGCTTTTATTTATCCGCGCCCCACCCGCTGTGTCCCTGTGCTTCATGAATATATAAAGAGGAGGAGGAGGAGGCGGAGGTCAGCGGAAAGCGGGGCGCAGGCTGGAGGCAGGCAGAGCACCATGTGTTAATGCCAGCACTGCAATTAACAATGCTTCTTCTTCTTCTTCTTTTTTTTAATCTGAGAAAAAAAAAAAGAAAAAAATACAGGCATTTGTAAAGGTGCCTCTGAATGCTTTTGCCTGCTCCCTGCCAGCTGCACAGAACAGGCTGGCCCCAGCCCAGCGCCGGGGCCGTGTTTGGGATGCCGCAGAGTGGAGGGGTGCACGTGCTGATGTTTCTGAAACATCACAGCAAGCATTGGGGTTTCACCATTTTATTTTGGTCGGGATGCACTGAGCTTTAAAGTTATTCAAAACAGATGTTACATAAACAGCTTCCAGGGGAGAACAAAGCCCGCTCGGTTTAATTTAATCCAAATTTTAACTACTTTAATTTTTTTTAATAATAAAAGACCTTGTAAGTTGAGAGCTATTGAAAACAACCTGCAACAATCACAGAGACCGCTTCCAAGGCACAGAAAGTCAGATCTGGCCAATAACATGTGTGATTTCACCAGCTGGGATCATTGCAGCAGATGGAGCTGTGGGATGGGCAGCCCCCCCAGTGGCCACCCCAGCTCTGCTTCTTCCTACCTACTCACCCTGTGCTGTCACCAACATCAGAACCAGTGGTTAAAAAAGCATTGCCCACTTCCATCCATGCAGTCAGCTTCAGTGAGCTTGGGGCAGCCCTGCACAGGATGGGGTGTTTACAGAGGTTGCTCTCCCAGGAAGGCCAGAGGAGCTGCAGGACCATGTGGTGCTCTGTGGCCACCGTCAGATGATTTAGAAAGCCCAAGGTGGGAAATAGAAGGAGTGGAGAGGGACAACTCTGTGGGGATGAGTGTTCTGCCTATAAATACCTTAAAGGAACAGCATGAAGGAAGGAAGGGAATTGCTCGAATTATCTCAGAGCAGTAAAGCTTGAGTTTGGGACTATAAAACCAAACCAGGCTAGGTTGGAAAGCTGTCTTTCTGTGGGAAAGCAGGCACTGAAGATGGATTGCAGAGGAAGCTGCAGCGGTGGAATGCAGAGGCAACTGCCTTCTGATGGGGTGTGGTGGCCAGTGGGATGCCTTGCAGCAGGACCACAACCGCATGGTACAGCAGCAGAAGCTGCAGGCAGGCAGCCCCCAGTGCCCAGCTGCACAGTGGGGGCATGTGGGGCTTTAAATAGCCAGGGGCCACTGCATGGTTCTTGTGGCAAGTTCCCCATGGCTCAGTTTCAGTTCCATACACCAACCTTTTTATTTTCAACTTTTCACACTTCTTTGATGTTACTGATGCTCTCTCCTTCACCAGATCCTATGAGAGCTGGAACAGGCCACAGGACAGCTCCTGCTCCCAGCACGCAGACTCCAGCTACGTAGAGTGCTAGATGCTCTAAATTAGTATTAAGAATAAACCAGACCAGGATGTTTGGGATGATTAAAACTTCCCCATCAGCCTGCTAAATAAATTCAGCTTTGGTCTGGCTGGGCACAGGTTGGTGTTTGTGAGAGTTTTTGCTTTTTTTTTTTCCCGCTTTGTGCCCAGCCAGGAAAAAATATGGGTCATTTAGTAGCAAAGCAAAGAAATCAGCTGGAGAAGCACAGAATCATAGAATGGCCAGGATTGGAAGGGACCTCAAGGATCATGAATCACCAACCTCCCCATTTAATACTACGCCAGGAGGCTGCCCAGGGCCCCATCCAACCTGGCCTTGAACACCTCCAGGGATGTGGCATCCACAGCCTCTCTGGGCAGCCTGTTCCAGCACCTCACCACTCTTATAGTAAAGAACTTCCCCCTGACATCCAGCCTAAATCTTCCATCCTTCAACTTAAAAACATTTCTCCTTATCCTGCTGCTATCTACCCTTCCAAAGAGTTGAAAGAGTTGAGAGCTGCAGCAGAGTGAAGCCAAGCCAGGTCCTGCTGGCAGCACTGCTCCCCAGCCTACAGCCGTGCTCAACTCAGCCACAAGATGCCTCATCCACATTTAAAAATTCACCCTCAGCTTCCCAGCCTGCCTCTGTCCATCTGTCCTTCCTCCTCAGCTACATCTGCAGCTATCTGATGATTTAGCATGAATAAGTCTGGCTCTCAAGTCAGCAGGCTCATTGCCTCCCATGGATCAGCTTGGTTTTGAGGCAGCTAGCCCCAAGCAATATGCAAGACAAAATTCTTCTTCCTAAAAGCTGTAGTCCACCCAAACATCCCATTGCTCCCTGCTTCCTACTCCCTACACCTTGCTTCCAAGCTAGAGCCTGCTCTCATTTCTGCCTCCCCCTCTAATCAACCACCCGCAGCAAACCTCATCTCTGCCAGACTCCTCCTCCCTCCTCATGCCCCAGGCATCCTGCATACCTTGGTACATAGGAGCTGTTTGTCCCTGATCACAGCAGCTGTGGGTGTCCCCAGGCCACCACCACCTCCTCATCTCACTGTGTTCACTAGTAGCCTGGCTGGGATAAGCCAACACTAACCAGAGTGTGCATGGCACACTGCTCTTAAGCGCTGTTTCCCCAAGCAAAACTCAGCTTCAAAAAGTGAGAACTGGGAGCTGTGTTTTCAACAAGCCTTGCTTCTGACTGTTTTATCCTCTTGGTTTTTGGTCTAAGAGCAGATGTCATTTAGAGCTGGCTGTCATTTCTCTTCCTTGTCTGTGGGCTTTTGGCAGCTTAGAGCCCTACTTGCCCTGCCCCTTTGTGCAAGGATGAGATAAGGACTGGGTGCCACTGATGCTGGGAACCGCTTCCCTGGTTCCTCCTGAAAGCAGAGTGCAGTAGAGGGGGAGGTTGCAGTAGAATGGAAAATTGCTGTAGAAAAAGAGAGTGAACAGAGAAGTTGACAACAGCATAAACATAACGGTATTTTAGCAAAGTTTTAAAGCAATGCTGAGGATAGAAAGCCTCATAGTATACAGGAGAGAACTGTGTTTTAGCCTTCGCACGCACCTCCCTCTGCTAAAATGGTGTTCCTGATTACACCATAAACCAAGCTGAACTCTTATCATACTCCAGTGATTCTGACAGTTTCTGTTCATTCTCTCTGTTGTGAGCTGGACCATGACCAGATCCTATCTGCACATCTATCAGGTGTGCAAAACCCACCTCTGGGAGAAGGCAGGAAGGATTTAACAGCATTCAGCTCATCCTTGCTCCTTTCCTGACAGAAGAGGGGCAAGCAGTCACCAGTGGCTTCTCTAGGGACAAGGTGAAGGTATATCAAGACAGGGACCTAGGAGGGAGAAGTTTAGAGATCTGAGCTCCAATTGCCAGCACAGGAATCAGGGAGAACAGCGGGGCTCTTTAGCTGTGTGCAAGCCCTCAGGTCCTCAATGGACATTACCTCATGAAGTTCCAGGAAGCACAGCTGAAGCAAGAACTCCACTGCTTACGCTGAGGAGGTGGGACTTGTCTGGCCTGGTGAAATGACATTGTAAATAAAACTTTAATAAAAACTGGCATTTATTGATGAGTTGTGTTAACCTTGTCTAAAGCCATTTAGACAAATTAAAACACCACGTTGTATTTCCCTGCCACGTTAAAAGCAGCAAGGCATAAAGCAGATTGATGCTGCTGGCCGCACTGGTTCTTTGTGAGCTCTGCATGAGCAGCATCCAGAGCAGACATTGGAGTACCCCAACATGGGGGCTGGAAGGGAGGAGGGGAGCCGGAAGCCATGGTGCACATCACCCCACACTGCAGAGGAGCACAGCTGAAGATCACAGGAACTGCTTTGGGCTGGGTCATCCTGACTCTCTCTCCTCCAGCACTTTGTTAAGACTCTTAAACACAGGAGAAGCAACTTCCATAGGCAAAATGGGAACAGTTTGAAGGAATATTACCTGTTATTGTCCTGGTACTGTTTCTAACATAATTGAGTATCTCTGGATTTCACAGAATGGAAGAGAGTGATGGATCTTTTTGAGCTCTATTAATCTCTTTGAGCTGCTTGTTCTTTCATGGAGTTTTATCAAACTGCAGCCACAGAGGAGGGAAAAAAAAAAGACTCAGCTAAGGCTAAGGAGAAAGATGCCTTTGTTTTTTATTGCATTGTTCTGCTTCCTATTTGTAATCAAAATTAGAAGTACTCTGTCTAGTGACAGACATTCTTGATGCTTTTTCCCTTCCTGCTGGTCTCCCTTGCAAAAGTAAAACTGGTGTAGGAGATCAGTATGAAGTGTTGGCTTACAAAATCTTCCACACAGATAGAGGATGAAGAGGATGAAGAGGAGAACCCCACTAAAGCCTCAGGCCTCCCATTTATTTTACAAGGTTAGAAAAAATGAAAATTGAGGAAATGTAGTCCAAAGCAACTGAGAGACTAATGTGGAACCCCCTGATGCCAGAGCTACAAACTTGCTTTTTGGGCAAGAGCAATACTTTAAGATGAAAAATTCATTACCCAATCTGTGAAAAGCAAAAGAAGCTCAGCTTTTCCTAACCTCAACATTTCTCAGACTGCAGGCCAAAGCCATGGGAGGACGCAGGCCCCCACCCCCACCCTTCAAAGGGAGAGCTGGTGACAGGAACAGTTCTTAGATGTGACTGATCTCCTCTGAAGGAGTCGTGTCACCACACAGCCCAGCTCAGGCAGCACTGAGCATCCACACCTCTAATTGCCAAACCCAGCTGTGTGGCCTTGCTGCTCCTAGTGTGTGCTGGACTGGTGTGCTCCCCAAAGTCACAAGGTAGAAAAAGAGTGGGTGAATGCAAAGGGCTGCCTTAGTGAGCTCATTTGGCAGGAGAATGTTTGTACACTGCCAATTGCCAGCCCAGCTCTGCGTGCTACATGATAGCTTCTGCCCAAGGATGGCAACACGAGGGACACTTTTCTGTGCTCACTTTCCCATGAGAAAGAGGCTCTGTGGAGGGTGAGGGTGGAGGATGAGAGCCTGTTGGCTCCGAAGAGCTCTTTCCACTCTGATGAGAGTATTCCCTAAGCCCTGCCGATGAAAGGCACAGATGTGCCTGCAGAGGAACGGCTCTCTGTGCACAGTTTGGTCCCTAGAGCCCTCTTCAGCCAGTTTGATGTCTAAGTGGAAG